ATGGAGAGCAGCGTGACATCCCAGTATGTCTCTGTTACAGTCCAAACAGCAGTCTGAAAACACGGCACTACCTGCAGCACATTCTGTACTTGATGGTTGTTTTTCAGGCGAAGGAATGACCTTCCATCATCCAACACAGACATCTAGTACAATGCAGCCTTCAAGTGCTGTTGCAAGCCATGAGTTAGGTACACATGACTGTGTGCCAATTGGTAAATTGTGATTAAATCATTTTTTTGTCCTCTACTAAGATGCAGTGGGTCCCAGTAATGTTTATGGAGTAACGCAACTATTTTGGACAAAAACATAAATGGTGATTGGATTTGATATTTACATATATTGAATCAGCTGTTAACACCTGGATGCTACGTTTTGTGACGTGTGAAAACTAGCAAGATAGCTAGCAGAGAGGTCTAAACAGTCAGCTAAAAGTAATGGATAAACAAAAAGATAAATGGTTAGCTCGGTGATGGATAAATGCTCGAATAGTTAGCTAAAAGTATGGATACATGGTTGAATAGTTAGCTAAAAGTATGGATACATGGTTGAATAGTTAGCTAAAAGTATGGATACATGGTTGAACAGTTAACTAAATTGAATGGATAAACAGTTACAATATTCAGTTAGAAGTAATGGATAAATGGTTAACTAGGTGATGGATTTACATTTGAATAGTTAGCTAAAAGTATGGATACATGGTTGACATAGTCAGCTGAAAGTAGGCCCAACTGAAAAATTGCTGTAATGGTTAGCTAGACGTTATGAACAACTGCTTATTGGGCTGAGCTAAAGTGCTATCAGTAAAGGATAGACTGACATAGTTAACTAAGCTAAATGGGAAAATGGTTTAAATAGCTAAAAGTAAAAGATAGAGGAAATGGGCCAAATTGACTGCTTATCTACGTAAAAGGTTATAGGTGGACATCTGCCAGTAAGTGTTGCAAAAATGCAAACTGACATGATTGTCATGTAGTGGGATTCCTAGCCCCCCCCCCCCAAATCAGTGCCAGCATATAAAAGGCTAAGTGTCTCAATACTGTCCTCATCCCAGACCTGGAATTGCCTTTCTGTTGGCTACTCCCTCTTGAGGAACCGTCAGTAGATGAGTCTAAGAAAGACAGTGTTGGGATCTGACCTGCAGAGGCCAATTCATTGGTCTTCTATGTTAACTTTAGCTTCTACAGGATGAAAACAACCTTCAACTACAATGAGAATTGGCACCACTCTGAAAGGCTCAGGACAGAGAGGGAAAGCATCTGGGAAGGAAACTGCTCACTTCATTTGCACTGGAGATTGGGCAACTCCCCGGGGGGACTCCCTCCAGAAAACACAACCAGATGGCTGCTTTTGAAGTGTCCCTGTGCGTGCGTGTGTGACCCCGGGCGTTGTCGTCCAGACTAACACAAACTTAATTTTCTCAAACCAAAGCAAGTCTGGTTTACTGTAAGTGTGGGAGCAGACATGAGGGTGGAGGCCATCATCTAAGGTGGCTGGGAACAATTAACTGCAGCATGGAGTCTTTAATTTACCAAAAGTCCAATCAATAAATGATACGATAAGACTATTAATCGTCTGAATCTGTTTTCGCCATCATCTTTGCTGTTTTCTTCAAGTTGTTATTCATAAGATGTGCGTTTCCTGGGTTTGTGTCGTCTCTTGCACTTGCTGGTGCTCTGACGTATTTTTTCGTGGAATCGTGGTGGAATAGTTTTTTGTGATTTTCCTCGGTGTTTGCTATCAGGCTCCGACTTGTGTTCCTGATAAAGCTGCAAGAGGTCAGGGTCTCATAGTCTTTTCAGACTTCTTAGGCTCTTTATAAATACTTGGATTGAGTCAATTCTGGACAGTTTACCCAGGAGAATAAGCCACAGCACATACCATTATAATGCTAAAAATGGGCTTGACATGGGAACTGCAAGTATCCAAGAATTCTTTAAAAAGCTGGCAGAAATACACAGATGTTTAATAAAAATCTGAAATGACAACTCTTACGATTATTTGTAAAATCTTCATCCAAAGGCCCTTTGGCCTTTATTTCTTTCCACGTGGACGGGACGTTTCGACAGAACTAAAACATCTGCTGTGACAGATACTTCTGCTCATGGAGATTAGTCTTTCTTCAAAGTGTTCCTCCGTTTAGACAGGGATGCCACAGCAAAGCGGTGGGACGAGCTAATCCTACAGGTCACAGCAGAGGCCACAGGTTCAGACAGGATGTGCAAAATCAAACCTGCCCGACGACGTCAGAAACGAAACGAAAAGGTCAAAATTGTCTTCGATGCTGCATTAAAGTAGAACGTTTTCATTCAAGTCTGTTACAGGAGTTGGTTTTTGGCTCTCAGCCCACATTTCAGGCCCCTTGGTGTGGATGGAGATGTTCACAAAAGCAAACTGAAAATGCAGTTGAAGATGCATTGGGTCTAAACGTGGGTTTGGATTTGACCCCAACAGGTTTTGGAAGGCCACTAATATAGATATTAGAAATATTTTTTTGATTCAAACTGAGATTTGGGGGAGATGTTTTCTTTAAAATTAGCCATTTCTACTGAAGAACTATTACAGTAACACAGAGCCAGCTCTAGAAATTGACAGCAGACATGGTCCCGATCCTGATCAGTCCTGGGCTCAATTCCCAATTGTCATATTGTATATAAAATGTAGTTTATTTATGTAGAGATGTACTACTAGTCTTTCTCCACTCAGGGTCTCACACATACAAACTCCCACCAGACCGTAACTACTTTTGATTAGCATTAATCATCTTGATGTAGAAATAATGTTACAGCAACGCATATTAGCGAATTTCAATCTGCAGAAAATTTTGAAAGGCGTGTTTCTTTGGTGATTTGCGGTTTATGTACGTCTACGTAAACAGATTCTTGTAGAATCAATCTCACATCTGCAGCTCATTTCAGGGTGCTAATTTTCCGGCTGCAGTGTCTGATGGGGGAGCGTGGCACTGGACCATCACAGCATCCAGCTCTCTTTGTTTATCCCATTCTCAAACAAAAGCCTCCCAGTTCCTGTCCTCTTAACGCCTGAAATCCATAATCTGCCCTCCTGATCTTTTTCCTCCTCAACTCTCTTACTGCCAAGATCTCATGAGATGGAGAGAGCTGTGTTTCCTGACGGGCGCAAGTAAATCAACAGGGCTGGATTAATGAGCCACAAGCCTCAGAGGGACCACAGTTACAGGAGCTTGTTTCCTCAGTGCCCTCTGGGCCTGAACACAACATTTTGTTGTTGGCTCACTAACACTGCAAGCATTTGGTTGACAAATGATTTATTTATCCACGGCGCACCCTAGTGGTAGATGAGCGCAACTGAGTTTATTGTTGGAAATACTGATTTGAAATCAGGTAAATTGACACACAGTAATTTTTTGAACCCGATCGGCCCCATAATCCACATTAAAGCCCCTGAAAATGTGAAGTTTTTCTTAATAACATTAAGTGTTCATGATTTAATAATCAAAAATCCCACCAATAGTGTGAGCACAACATCTTTAATGGTAATTTATTAAGAGTTTCATTTGCTCCAATGATGCTGTGTGGTGTGATTTCATTGACAGTGTCCTGGTAACATAAACAACGTTCAACGTTCTTCAAATCAGTGGGTGAAAATGTGTTTTCACGGCCTTTAAACTCCTACTCTGAATTAAGTAGCTTCTAAGTTAGGTTGCAGGGTCCTAAATCAGTCACTGATTGTAAATGGTAATCTTCTTGTTGGTGACCGCGACACCAACAGGAAGGTTAATTGTTTTTGATGAAATAAGTAGAAATGGTGTCCTTACTTTAAAACATAGTTTGGGACAAGATGGTCTGCTTACCTTCCAAGACCTTAAAGCTGCTATAATTATAACTTTATATTAAAGGTGCAGTGTGTAGTATTTGGTGGCATCTAGCGATGAATACTTAATGTCATTTAAGCGGTGAGAACGCCAATCTCCATATGTAGATAAACGGCTCATGCTTAGGTTATGAAAACACAGCCGTTCTTATTTTAAAGAAAACATACTTATTATTATATTCCATTTCTGCTAATACCTAAATGCTATAAACTGTTCCTTTAACAATGGACCCAATGACTAGATGTAATGTAAAAGGAGTCGCTCACAGTGATGAACACACAGAGTTATCACCCGACTCTGTAGTTCCCTGTAGTTAGTTGAATATTGGACTTAATGAATGCTAATGTTGCTAAATAAGCATGTTTGCCATACCAAAAAGTGGTTATACTTTAAGTGTCTACACTACAGCTTGTTTCGGCTGCCCTAAGTGGCCAAAACACCGACTGCAGCTTTGAATGTCTTAACCATTAACACACTGCACCCATACTTATGACTGGCTGGAGGTGAGACGTAGGGATGTAGCTTAGCTTTCTGTCTGACTAAATCATTATTATGAAGCGATATGCTGAAGAATTAGTCTCAAATCTTACCCTTTAGAATAGATATCAGCTGGCATGTAGCATGGTCAAACAGCATTCTTTTAGGATGTATGTTTCTACTACTCCCCTGCACGAGGCTTGGGGAAAACAAATTCTTTTGATATGGACACAATATGTATGAAAGACTGATACATTTTAGGTAGCCTAATATTTCATTACATACATCATTTTGTATACATTCCCTTTGAGTTTCCCTGTACTCGTACTTAAGGTTTATAAAATGAGGTTTGTCTGCACAACATTAATCTGTAATGACGAGTTAAAGGGAAAATGTGTCATCTTTTATGTGGATGTCCAATCAGTGCTGATGGTAAGTGTAGTCCACTGATGAAATAAACCATTGTGTGCTCTATCGACCGAGTAAGCTGACCTCTCCTGCTGCGGAGCTGTGCTCGCTGTGCCTCCATGTACCAGGATGCATTGCTTCTGCTACGTCTGAAAAATAAACGATAAAACTCTACGAAGGAAATATTCTGACACCTAAACTGAAAAATAGATCAGCACACCTTCTGAATTGAAGATTCTGTTCCACCAAACTAAGACAGATTTAATTGCCTTGTTAAACACACTTTATTCAAACTGGACAGAAACTAAATAAAACTCCCCAAAACGTTCGTCTTTCCATTGTTCCAACAATACACAACTCTTGTTTGGTTGAACTGAATCCTTAATTCACTGAGTTAGATGGTTCTAGCGCTGCTTTCCCACACTGCGTCTCTCCTCCGTGCGGCTGCTGCCCTGCTGTACAGGGAGAAGATGTGCTGTCAGGATGAAACATCCATCACGTACTGTTCTGGGATTTGTGTTGACAAGAATCAGTTGGCAGCAGACAGTCCAGCATACAGTACATGTATGAAAGCCGGATTCATTCAAAGGCATGAGGACAGCACAATTTATTCAATAAATCAACATATTCAGAGCAACACTTCTGTACAGCTTAATTCGATAAATATTGATGACACATTGTTGGGATCATTCCTCAGTTTGTTTTTCTTAGCACCTTAAACAGATGAATCAGAGTGTTTTCAACATCGGAGCAGATTAAACCGGACTTTATTTACTTTAATATGACAACACTTAAACCGAGAGAACGGACATCGCCAACTAACCTGAAGTTGAACATTCCTATTTTGGAATATGGACCATTCCTCATCTTAGATAGCTGGACGTCCCCTGCATGCCTGCCCTGCTTGCCTCTGCTTATTTTCTAGTCCCTTCTGCTGTCGAGGAGCCGCAAGTAGAAACCCAACCTGTATCAGTGTCAGATACTATAAGTCCTAAAGGGAATGCTCCACGGGAGGAAGGAGAGATCTGTGCTTCCATATTATTTACAGGCTAAGATAATGATGAACCAGACTGCGTCTCTGTAGCATGGAAACTAGTCAACATTTCTTGTGATGATGGAAGATCGGTTTCTAGGAATTTTCATTTTTGGTTAAACAAACTAACGGTTCAGCATATTTATGGAGTAGCTGCAGCCAGCATCGTGCAGCCCGGGCACGTTTGGAGAGAAGGGGGTGATACGACAGGTTTGGATGACGGCCGAGAGCGTGAGATATTGCTTTCGAATGCTTAGTAGAGATCTGTCAGAAAACGGTAAACATGCAGCTGCAGTTCTCCATGAAGACTGACAGATCAGCCTCTTCAAAGCTAGGCAAGGTTACTGTGCCCCTGGTAGCTCCATATGGAAGCAAGAGGTTTGAAAACACCCCAAAAAGTCCTGAAGGGTGAACTCAGTGAACTGCATGTGGTGTTTTATTCTTCATACTGAAGGGGAACAAAGGGAACAAGAAACGGTATCACGGTCATCATACCTGCAGTGTTTTCATTTAGTGTTAATCTAACATGCTGTTAGGGTGATAACTAACACCTTCAGTTATCCAACATGTTATAGCTACAGTGCATGCTATTTTTATTAATCAGGTTGATAATTAAGTTTATTATTATAATTCTGTTCTCTAAATTGTTTTGAGAAATTACTTGTTTCATTATCAGCTGGTGGAAGTCTCTGGTGCTCATGCTCAAAAGTAGCAGTGATTAGAGTTTAGGCTGCGTAATAAACTGGCCGGTTTCAACCTCTGTGGATAAGACACCAAAACAGGCCGTGTCAACGCAGAAGAGAGCCGATGAAGCACTCCAAAGCACTTTGTGGAACAACTTCCTGCAACTCCTTCTAAAAATACTAAGACCTCACTGAGCTCTCTGGGTCGCCTCTATGAGCAGCTTTAGTGGAGCAACAGACATGGAGCTATAAATAGTCTCCTCAAAACTGGATGAAACAAAGGCCATCGCTGAGGTTGTGAATCACGGGAATCTGAGCAGGAGCGAAGCAGCATCTGGAGAGTCACGAGTGCTGCTGTGACAGCAACACTCCTCGGTATGCAAACTGGGTGTTACATTTTTAAATGAGACAGCCTTCTGTTGACCGAGCATGTATACAACGTCTCGGTCATTTCACATTTTGGCCGCTACTCAGCATTTATGGTAAGCCGGCAGGTTTAGTGACATGCGTGCATTTTCCCGGCAAATCCAGGATTCCATCCAGCAACCTTTAATTGGGCAAATGATGTTGCCTCAGTTCCTAAAAACTACTTCCTCCACCTGAGCTCTGAAAGCTGTTCTCTAATTCAAATAAAAACCTCTCTTCTATTAGAGGGACACTCTTCTCTTCTATCTAAAGCAAACCTGAAATGCTATTTAAGACTTTTATAGCTTAATGGATATTTTGGATCTTTAGAAGTGTGATGGTATGAAGCACTTCTCCATAGCCAGTGTATAGAAATGGGAAAGACAGGAGTACCAGTGTGACTTTGGTGAATCCAACACGAACCCTTTAAAACACTGAAGTCACACAATGACACAAACTAACTAACCGATGGAGGCCGCTGTGTTCTGAGAGGTGAAATGACTGTTGGTGTCTTTGAAGAGAGCACAGATAACGACTTCAGCTCCCCGTCACAAAGGTCTGTCTGACAGCAAGGTAAAGAGGTGAACATATTCTAAATATATCGGACACTTCAACTGATATACATTTTTTCATGTGTCTAAAACACGTCCACACGAGTACATTGCTTTGCTCCCGTCTGTTTCTCCAAACTCCATCTACTAGTTATTACGCTGACTATGGAGAAGCACCTCACACAACCCCACTTCTAAACATCCATACTGTCCCCGGGTAAGGTTACACACTGGTGCTTCCATTGGCAACAACATTGCGAACTGAAAATAAACTAAAACAATCACCTTCACGCAGCGTGCTTACATTACCTGAGCTAGTGACTGTGATCGTTGACAGTGAAAGAAAGCAAAGGGAGTAGCGGTGAGGGCGGCTTTTCCCTCAAGATGCTGCCGTTGAGGAGACAGTCTGGATTTCTACTTTAAGGTTATCATTTCCTGGTCGAATTAAATTGAGACTGTTTCATTACCGCTTCAAAATTTCTTGTAGTAAAATCCAATCGTTGGCGTGAGTGTGAACACAATGAAACAACTCCAACAGAGGAGCTAGGATACTCCTCTCTGTCTCTGCCCCACTTTCGAATATTTTACTTGCAAAACTTGATAAAAAGAAGAATTGTGCCTAAACTGTGAGTCTACTATTATCATATCTAACACACTGGCACCTTCGCTGTGTTTCTTTTCCTTCAGAAGCGTGCTGCAGCTCTTTGAGGTTTCAGGTTTTCTGTGAACATCGTCCGACTCGTCCTTCCCCCCCTGGGACACTCACTGATGGCAGAGGTAGCCCATGATGAGCTTCGGTATTTCCAGTTGACCTATGACCTTCACAGCTCTGGTGCCCAACTTCGTCCTCACTGCCAATCTGCTGAGCTGCTGCAGATTCATGGGGTTGGCTACAGAGAGGAAAACAAGAGGTGGATATAAGCGTTCACAAATATTAGTATTCTGCGTGAGATTTGTAACTAAATGATAACATCCTGTAATTATTCTTTTAATATAAATATTGAATTTTTCTACCTTCATCTTCTTGTATTTGAAGTCTAAAAACTGCTGTAGATTTCATGTTTCACACTGTGCTCCACTTTCTATAAAAGGCTCTGTCAGTGGAGTTAAGAGTTGTAAATCATCACCATCTCATATGCAGTCACTGCACCGGCTAAACTATACGTGGCATATACAGCACATGACATACGAGCGTCTCTCTAGAACTTCTTGGAAGTGAAAAGCAATCCTTGCTTGCCATCTGCTGGTGCTACGTTGGATTAACTACATCTGCACAAACCGGGTAAACGATGTTTGTTTTCCATGCAGCCCTGACTTCTGCGCATAACATACTCTCATAAAACTGTAGGCAGGTGGCAGAAGGAGAGCCGGGCGTGGTGTAATCGACGGGTCTCTTGTTGTGCTGGTCCCTGGCGTGGACGTTGGCCCCGAACTCCACCAGCGTCTCCACCATCTCAACCTGCATGTTTTTAGCAGCGTGGTGCAGCGGAGTCTCGTGTAGCCGGGCAGCATTCACCTTAGCGCCTTAAAGGGAAAGGGACATTCATGTCAGCTCTCGAAGGAAAAGGCTGCTGATGTTTCATATTTTTTCTTATTGTTAACAAATCTCATGAAAAGACCAAATCCAAAAATGGGTTAGTCCGTCTCTCGATACTTTCTGACCTCCCTAACCCGTCTGTCTGGCCGGTGGTTCCTGCTGAAGATGTAAAGCTTCAAAAATGGGTCACAAATATACAGTTTCATCTCCTTTAACAGCTCAAGCAGGAGGAAATAGTGCTTTTGTTGGGGACCATTTTCAGCGGCGGATTAATCCACATTTGGTGCTCTAGGTAGTCTTGCTGGCAGCAGGACGGTGTTTGTGAGATTGAGTCAAAATAAACTAAAATGTGTTCATGGTGATGAAGGAACATGTGCCCCAGTGCAACATTGTGGCCCACTGATGTGTTTTTAATAGATTGTGGACTATGAAGGTTTTGGATACACAATACATTTATGGTCTACAGCATACATAGTCTTCTCATGAGATGAAAAATATGGAACATTGTCATCCTTAAACCGGTTTAAGGATGACAATGTTCCATATTTTTGAGGCCTCCATGTTTTCCCCCAGGGAACACAGAACACTTTAAACAGACTTCCTCAGTGCTTAGCTGTCTAATATATATAAATATATCTTTCTGTCAAAGTTCCATTGTCATTATGTGGATGAAGAGGAGAGTTGCTTTGGAAGAACTTTGACAATCTCTGACATGAGTGGACAGCTGAATAGTTTGTTGTGAAAGACAAACAGTAGTCGCAAAGTAATATGCGATATGTTCTAGAATAATAAACAGAATTATCATGGGAAGGATGATGTGAATTTGATTAGATTTTTAGGTTTTTTTATCATCAGAGTTGCTGGTGTTTGGCAACTGACACTCAAATCTCAGATGCCAGAGCTTTTGTAGAAAGAAGAGTAAACAACATTGTCCATGCTTATAACTGCATTATGATGCATTGTTTTGCCAAATAAAGAAGGCAATTACTTTACATATCTTACTCACATTTCCACTCTCTGCTTGTTGATTTTCGCAGGATGCTGAAACATCTGAAAATAGTGGCTATCTGGAAGGTAATAAATCAATCTAAAAAATTCTACTCAATAGACCAAACCATGCAAAACTGCAGGTTACCAAAAGTAAATTTAAATTAAGGCAAATTTCCCCATCCTGCTTTGCACTGACGCTCACCTGCATTGAGCAGCTCTTTCACACAGTCCGTGTGTTCGTTGGCACAAGCCACATGTAGCGGGGTCCCGTAGTAAAGGTCGTACGCCTCCAGACAAGCACCCGTGGCAATCAGGAGCTTCACGCAGTCCGAGTTTCCTGGAAAATGACATTTGTCGCGATCAAAGTCTCTTTGTAAAGATCAACGTGAGGCTTAAGTTGATCGCACAGAAGCCGTAAAAGCGTGTGACATGAACGGTGGCCCTCACCTCCCATGCAGGCCTCGTGGAGGGGCGAGGCCGTGCGGGAGGTGAGGGCAGGGTCGGCCTTGGCGCCGTGATCCAGCAAGAGCCTGACACACTCCAGACTGCCTGCCGAACAGGCATCGCACAGCGGGGTGCTCCCGTCTACGTTCCTCGCATCCACCTGAGATGCATTATGGGACATAGGATTATATCTACAGAGGTACTTCAACCTCTTCTCACATGTCCTCTCCTCGTTCACTCAATGTGTCTGATTACTTCAGCAAACTCCCGTCTCTATACAAAATCAATCTTTGTTCATAATCTGACCTTAATGGTTCAATATTTTTTTAATGAAAGAAACGTTAGAATTGTGCGAGATATAGTCAACGTTTACGCATATAGACAAGCTCTGTTTGCTTTTAAGGTCACCCATGATAAGGCAGACAGGCATCCGTCTCTCTCCCCGGCTCACCTGGGCTCCAGCGTCCAGCAGCAGCCGGACACACTGGGCCTGTCCGCGGAGGCAGGCCTCGTGCAGCGCTGTGATGGAGTCCACCGCCACGATGTTGACCGAGGCTCCGCTTCGGATGAGGTGCTCCAGCTGTGAAGTGTGGCCGAGCGACGCCGCCTTGTGTACCTCTGTTCTCTCCGACCAGCAGCCTGCGGGGTTATAGTTCAATGTTGTCATCAGTATTTTCCCTCACTGTTGTTCTGGTGAATTAATAAACACCTTCATTGCGTTGTCTGTCCTCGCTTTGTTGTAGCTGTGGAGTGACTGTCTTATTTAATGTAAACTACATTTAGCAGCGTTTGTTAAAGTTACATATTTTGTCTGTCAAAATCTGTTCACGCGCATCTTCTGCAGTCAATACAAAGGTAAAAAGGCGAACGAGAAGCTAATAGCAATCGTATGAAGCTACAATTATGTTACATACTGTATAATACAGCTGGTAGTAGCAGCTAGCTACGGTAAAGCCGCTTGCTGGCATGTCAGCGGTCTATAGTTAGCATTCCGGCTGACAGTGCAACCATACATGCCACCCAACGTCAAACCGGGTCAAGACCCGAAAAAACGATCGTCTCACCGGTAGGTGTCTTTATTTCATACTCACCGATGTCTCCAAAGAAATATGGACGAGCGTTTTCAATTTCCATCCTGTATTTGTTTCTCCCGGCGAAATTAACAACGTTTAAGCAGACGGACAGACACGAGGTGTTTGTAAACAACCGCGACTTGTTAATGTTTACATGCAACGGGAGTCACGTGACAAACCCGGAACTCGAAGCGTATGCTGGCCTTTGTAGTTTTTACACTACATTGATTATTTCATGATCTTTGAAGAAACAACACATTTATTCGAAGTCTGAATAAATAATGCGACATAATACACAATATGACGTCAATCCTGAGTCACGTGACATGTAAGAAATATGGTGGATAACCTAATATTTGGAATAATAAGCAGATGTTGTCCCCAAAGCTTTCTTCTACAGATGCTGTATTCAAAATCAAACACTAGTCTCTCATCCAGGCTTAAAAATCTGTTCATGTGCCACTCTGTAGCGATGCAGGGTGATCACAGTACTGGAGGTAGCTGTGGATGCGGTGGGATGTGTCCAGCTGACCTATGACCTCTGAGGCTCTGGTACCCAGCCTCATCCTCACAGTGATTCTACAAAGCTGCTGTAGACTCAGAGGATTACCTGAGAGAAGGAGAAGAAGTAGTCAGCTATCACAATTCAAAAGCAAAACTGAGAAAAACTGCTTCTTTCTTAGAACTTACTTTTATAAAACATGAGGCAGGTGTAAGCCGGAGATGCAGGTGTTGTGTAGTCTACAGGCTTTCTTCTAGGTTGTCGCTGGCGTACACGTTGGCTCCAAACTCCATCAAAAGCTCGATCATATCCACCATGTCGACTCGTGCTGTATGGTGCAAGGCTACCTCGTGGAACTTAACTGAGTTCAGATTGGCACCTGCAGGAAGTTAAAATGAGTTGAGGCCTGTTTGTTTGGATTCACAACAGAAAGTATCTGTGTGCTTTGGTAGACCTTGTAATTATGTAAAATCTGCCCTCATACAGTGCTGTTAGAGTTGACAATAAATCCTGCATTCTCATTTTGTTCGCTTGGTGGTGTATTTCTCTTCGTCCTGCAGATACCAACGGTAAAATTTGTTCTTTTAAAGCTGTCATTCTGCACCGACATGCAATAATCCAGAAATAGATCATCACAGAGGCACAGAGGCTCATTACTACACCCTAATAGACAGAATGAATCAGTTGCTCACTGCAGTTGATTTTCCCCTAACTCATACCGTATGGATTTAAAATGAGGAAAAAGTGTTTTTCTACATTATATTATGGACTTTTTTTCATAACAGTCCCACCATTCGACAATGACTGGAGCCTTGGACAAAAATAGTACAGAACCCAGTATTCATAGTAATAGAATTCCAACTTAACACAAGATGCAGCCTTCTCGCTGACCTGCATTAAGCAGCTCCTTGACACAGTCCACGTGTCCTTTAGCACATGCGATGTGGAGTGGTGGACCAAAGTGGACTTCATACAAAGTGGACGTGGGTTCACTTTGGCTCCGTATTGCAAAAGCAGCTGGGCACACTTCAGGCTGCCGGAAGTGCAGGCGTTACACAGAGGAGTGCTCCCGTGAACGGTCCGTACGTCCACCTGGAACAACCAGAGAAACGATTGGTTCTACTTTCTCCATACGTCTTTCCATTATTGTCATCACAATTCGAAAAGTGGGCAAACATAATCCCATTAACACCCGTGTCATGTAAATAATGCTTATTTCCATCCATGGTAACTTTTGCTTCACAAACCTCACAAAGGCACTATTTATTCTGTAATAGATTGCGTCACTTTAGGTTTTATTTGTTCACATCTCCACAAGTCAGGTTTGGTCCTCCATAGCTGGAGGTAGGACCGTTGGGGGTTTATCCCACCTGGGCTCCAGCCTCCAGCAGCAGCCGGGCACAGTTTGGATGACCCTGGATGCAGGCCTCGTGGAGAGGAGTGATGTTGTCCACTGTCACCATGTTGACCGCTGCCCCACTTTCTATCAGCTGTTTCAGCTGCAGGGCCCTGCCGTGGGACGCTGCCTCGTGCAGAGCGGTCCGGTCCGCCCAGAAGCCTTTTACACAGACAGTGACACATATACAGACAGTAACACACACAGACAGTAACACACACACAGAGTAACACGCACAGACAGTAACACACACACACAGTAACAAAAACAGACAGTAACACACACAGACAGTAACAAAAACACAGACAGTAACACACAGACAATAACACACACAGACAGTAACAAAAACAGACAGTAACACACACAGATAGTAACACTCACACAGACAGTAATACACACAGACAGTAACACACAGTCAGTAACACACACACAGACAGTAACACACACACAGACAGTAACAAAAACACTGTAACACACAGACAGTAACACACACACACACACAGACAGTAACACACACATACAGACAGTAACACACACACACCCACAGACAGTAACACACACAGACAGTAACACACACACACACACAGACAGTAACACAAACACAGAAACACAAATAAGTCTCCCGAGTTTTAAAAGCTTTCATAAAGTTTTAAATAACGTTAGCCTACCTTACTAAAATAACATTTACATATTCGTATTGGTTTCCGACATTCAGTTAAACCTTACTTGCTGTCTGTACAGTATTGAATACATGTTAATAAAAATAGTAACCGTATAAACAATAACTACAATACAACAGCAACTAATAAGTCATTAGTTATAGTAGCTGTATTAGCCAATTAGCTACTCCGCAATTATGACAGAATGTATATTCCCTAAAAGGTGTTTACTTTGTCAGAGTTTCATCTCTACGTGTAATAACTTTTTATAATGGAATATAATTATTTAGTAAGTATTCGTGTCATGTAGCCTTCTTTAACTCGCTTATTAGCCAGTTATATCCATGGTTGACGTTGTGTATACAGCTAGCTATACATCGGTAAAGTTAGATCTTTTAGATATGATACAACGTGAGTGTCACGAACAGGGCACGAGCACGAGCTAATATGATTAACTAAGTTAGATGTCAAGAGAATCCACTGCCATTCTAGACCTTTAAGTGGATAACATGTGCTGTACGACAGCTGTTGTGAACATTATTAACGGTGCTCAGAAACGAACAGCGCGCAGGGGACTTGAAAACATGAGCTAATGATGCGAGCGTGGAAGGGAGAGGACAGAGAGAATTGTGGGAGTCGTAGTTTACAGGTGTGAGTGTTCCTGCTGCGCTGCTACTCAGAAATAATATCCCCTGTTCAGGTATGACAGGGCAACTCGGTTGTGTGCTAATACATGGGAGTCATGCATTTTACATTTATTATATTTCACAATTGATGTAGGTAGCCAGAGTTTTCAATATTATTTCTGTTTAACTTTATTAAAATAGCTGATACCTCCCATTCTCAGGGCTTTCATGAATCTTTGTGACTTGTAAAGTTCAGGGTGGTGAGCTTTTAGGATATGAAAAGGTTGGGCCCCTGGTGCTGGCTGTCCTGTGCATCTTCGGTTGAATTGTATTATTGGGATGTTACAATGCAATTCTTCAGTGAGACAGATCTAAATTAATAACCATATCGGTTTGATTTTATCCGGTAATAAATGTTCTTCTGCATATTCAGACATCTTTTCATTTTGAAGAGTTGAATTCTTTTTTTGAATTATGTTTCATCAAACTGCAAATAAAATGTTGCATCTTTTGTCATGAATTGTAAATTCAAAACCCAACAGACTTTACAGCAGTTAAAACCGACTGCTGCAATAGTCTGCAATAACTCAGATCAATGTTAATAAATAACCAGGCATTTTGTTTTAAGTCGGTCAAAAGTTCATCGTTAGCCTCTCCGTCAGTAAAAAAGCTGCTGTGAGCAGCAGAAATCTAGAGGTGCGTTTTGCTTGTGTTGCACACATTCATCACCGTTCACTCCACACGTGAGGGGGAAAAAGTGATCAAACACAGCTTTGGTTTTTGACAAAGTTGTTTTTACTTTGCAGTATAGAAATCATTTGAGCCCAGGATGTTTTTGTTTTTTTAAGTTGTTCAACACAGGAGATACCAAATGGGCTCTCATCAATTCAATACTGCTGCAGTACACATTTTGGTCCTTAAGCAATTACAGTCAACCACACATCCCACCAATCTGCTGTTAATGCTTTGCATGATGCATGATACAGGAACAGAAACTACTAGATCACTGACGCATTATAGTAACTCAAGCTGTCGGATACACAGGTCTGGGTAGTTAATGCTGGACCAGTTGCCCTTGTGTCTTGGTTTATAGGATGCGTCGGGCCGTGATGGAGATTTGACAGGAAAGGTTTTTTTTTTTTTTAATATTAAAAAAAAAACAAAAAAACAAAACAGTGACATAGAAATATGAAGCCCACACACCCCTTACCCACGTTAACAGCCGACGATGGAAGCTGCCGCCTCACACGGCTGTCTGTGGCTGCTGGGCCTGAATGTGCGCGGAGGAACACTCCTCCGCTCGCATGATTTAACTCGGACACACGAAGCCAAAGCCGCTTCTCTCTCTCACCCTGACATGAAAGAATATTTGCAGAGACCAATAACTGATGTATAGATATTATTTATCTTCCAAACGCCTTTTATACAATGACAGAACAATTGGACACCCCACCCCGCTGACACATATACCCACTATGTAAGATCGTTTTTTGAATTATCATTTGATTTGGCATCTTTGGACTATGCATCATGTCGACATGATGAGGCAGAAGAATGTAGGGTATTACTGTATATTAGGTATAACCAGTGTTTAGTGCAACATCCATCCGAGTGTGGGTTTAAAAAGCATAGCTCCCTCCCTGAACCCTATCCAACAACACTATATCATATCTCTAAATATCATGAACTTCCTCAATGGGCAAAACCGTTTACTCGGATGATCAGCCATTGGTGTGTACATTTTTGTGTAGTTTTTTTTATTTTTCACTATTTTCTGTAAGATTTCAGTTGTCGTCGTCTTTAATAATCAGGATTGCAGCGGGTGCCTCTCCTCTAATCGCAGGCGTCGCCGAAGGTGTCCTGCTTCTTGCGTTCCATCTCGGCAAAGTCAAAGTCTGAGCCCGTCATCCTCTTGTAGATGTCTTGGATGTCGTCGCAGGTGGTCTCGAAGTGAGTCGTGGCATCATACGTGCGGGAGATGAAAATCTAGGGGAGAAAACCGGATCAAAGAGGCCTTTTATTGGAAGAATTCTTTCAGTGCGCAGAGACAGATGAACAGTCAAAGTTGGATTTAATCTAGATTCTTGCGATGCCGACAAGATAAACTACAAAACAAAAAGTTTCCAAACACAGTAATTCTTCTGTTAAATGGCAACTGATTTTAGTTTTACAGACGGAAGGAATCCGACCACAGAAGTGTTTCCTGTGCAGACACGTAAATTTCTGCTCACACACTCTGGCCGCAAAAAAGCCAAGTGGTGCAAAGATGGCGTATTCTTACAAAACAGCAACATGCAAGGATCGCTGCAATGAGTGGTACTTCCTTTTTTGCAAGTTTACCAGAAAACCGCACAACAGTTACATTCTGAAGTTACAATATTAACATTAAACAAAATCTAAAAAACAATGAGGTGGACAGGGGACGTTTTACATTCTAATGGGGTCATTATCTGAGCAAGTGTACAGCAGATGATGTTCACTGTTAACTGTGTTGTGCCACTCGTCTCAAGCAAGTGTGAAGTGAGTGGAAACACAAACAATAGAACAAAAAGATCCTACCTGGCTGTCGGCGCCCATGTCGGTGGGTGCATACTGCTCACTAATGCTGACAAACTTCTGCTCGATGGGCTGCAGTAGGTCCAAGGCCGGCTTGATTTCCTTCTCGGGGTCGTTTGTCTCCACTGTGGTGCTGATGATGGCGATGTACTTGCCTTGTGCTGCCACGTTGTGAGCAGAGGAGATCATACAAACGTAGATGTCTGGAAACCGAAGAAAAGATGAAGGTTAGCGTCTGCTGGTGAGTTCAAATAGTTATTCAATGATCGGTTGTTGTTACACATTACGAAGGTACATTTAATATGGGTCAGCTGGCAGTCTAGGCATTTTCCATGTATCATAGCTTTGGGTGGAGGCTGAAAATATAAATGTCTGTTGAAACCAGAGGTGTCACACTGGATTTTTACATTCTTTAAGATAATAAAGAAATTAAATAGTACACATTAATTTCCTGTGTGTGCTCACCATGCTTCCTTTGGACCTGGTTCTGGGGGATGATGATCTGGCAAGAGTTGACGTCACCAGTGTTGGCGACCGGGTGACTCAGGATGCAGATGACTCTGATCACCTGGCCCACTTTGGTGGCGCGGTCCATGGCGTAGCTGGGGTCGCAGATCAGCTGCTTGCACCTGGCGATCTGCGTTGGGGCGAACGGCCAAAAGGTCAGAGGTCAAGGGAAGGTTTAACTCCTGGAAAAAGGGTTAGGGACACACGAAACACGTCGGAAAGCAAACTGCTCACCTCTCCCTCGGACTTGACTCCAACCACCTTCCCGTCCTCCACCACGATCTCGTCGATGGGCTTGTTCAACATGTACGTCCCGCCGTAGATGGCACTAAGCCTGGAATGGAAGAAAAGTGTGAGATGTTGCTTCCTATTATCTCCCCCCAAAGGCAACAAACGTCTTATCTCTGATTTAAGCAGCCAGAGTCAGAGATAAGGGATTTAGCAGCCTGGCAGTCAGTTATCGGTCGTTTGGGGACAATGAAGGCTGCCGGTCTCACTACCTACCCATTAGGAAAATGTTCAGCAAAGACCTAGAGACAAGGTGGCACTGCTGAAAAGGTAGGCCCCTCCTCTTTCTTTATGGAAAGTCTGTTATTTAGCCAACGGCATAGTCAGAGAGAGAGAGAACATAATGTATATCAAAAGGATCAGATATCTTAAGCTGAACTCCGTTTAAAACCAGAAGTATTAAATACCACATTGTGCCAACTCGCATACACCAAAAGCAATGAGTTCCCCATCACGTTACGTCAATTTGCTGTCAACATCCCCCCGCTTGTGGCCGTATTGGGGGTGGACCCACGGTAGAAACGTCAGTAGCAAATATTGGATCGAATTCACGGTTTATTCATACATGTGACATTAGGCATATGTCTAGAAGGTTGCGTTTATTGGCTCTAAATAAGAACAAAATGAGGTATTGACCTAAATGTGTTTTGGGAGGAGTAGCCTGCTCCATTATGTTAATGTAATGGAATTCATTTAGAGCTAGTAGCCTAGTAACTGTGAACTGATCTAAGCAATAAATAATATTTGGAACAATACATATAATTGTTTTTTTCTTATTTAAAAGAGTTTCACCTGTTTTCACCACGGCCAAAAAGGGAATTACATTACACTTCAAATAATTTTCATCTCTGAAAAAACAAAAAAAGCTGACATTACCTTTTACAGAAAAAGTTTGAAAATACCAAAACGTGCGCGTGTTTAAAGACGGTATTGCAAAATCTGTGTCGTGACCAAACGGGAAACTGGTGACGGTGATGAAACAGGTATACAACCCAGCCCTGCTGATCAGTCAAAATATTTGTTGTAGTAAAGACCTAATGGGACACTTAAATCTAATGAAGCCACCATTTATGTTTGATAAAGGTCAATTTCAGTACTTTAATCCCCTGAGTGCAGCTGTTGAACATTATAATGATGTTAAAAACATTAAACTATGTACTTGGTGCTTGTGCGTCCACAGGTTCCACAAGAGCCTTGTTGACAGGCCTCAATCATGTCAAAAAACAGACGACATCACTGTGTGACTTTGATACGAAGGAAATTTGATGGCTCACAGGTCAGTTCCTGAGTTTTAAGGAGCTTCTGTTTTTTCTATAAGGAACATTGGAAGGTGTCCGTGTGTTCAGATTATGACTTTTAAAAAGAGTGTGATTTTGACGCAAATTGGGGCAATCAGACGCTGAGGAACTTCAAGTACCTGAAAACAATGAGCTGTGTGTCACAGTCGCTGCTGCAACCCGTGACCCATGCTGATAATGGGGTGAAATCAACGGATCAAATTACAATAACTTTCGTTTGTGCGTTTTGGTTGTAAACATAAATGTGTTTTACACCTCTGATGCTGCTGGAATTTTCAAGACTACTCCAAGCATTTAAAAGTCCTTTTTACTTGGTGTAGTAAATGAACTCCGCTGTGTGCAGCAGCACGCAGATGCAACAAAGTGATACATCCAAATAGTCCCCTACCTGGCGAACCCTTGTGGCAGCTCCCCCAGGCCGTAGAGTGGGTAGAGGTACGGGCTCTTTCCATATCTGGCCAGAGACTCACTGTAAAGCTTGATCCGGTTTATCGTCTCAATGCAGGGTTCATCCAGGTAACTGAGTGGAGAGAGATGGAGACCATTTAAAACTGCAATGGTATCACAATCACGTGCAATTAAGTTTATTGGAAAAATAGCACTTATTGAACAACTGGAAAGAGCACTGACTCGTCTGTGCGGTAGAGGGCGAGTGAGTGGCCGGTGAAGTCCATGACCTCCTGGCCCAGTTTGAACTTTTGGAAAATGTTTCGCATGGGTGTCTTTTGGGGGTCGACATCATCCATGGTTTTGGGGTTGCTCTCGTCGAAGTTGGAGATGAACTGGAGGAATTTTTGGAAGCGCCGTTTCTCAAAAAGCCCCATCAGACCTTTAGGAGACCGAGAGTTTAGACTGAGTGGGCCCGTGTCGAAAGCAACTAAGTGGGTGAAGGGCAAGCTTTGCAACGCAAAGCGGAACCAGCAGCTGAGTGTTATGGGTTAGACCCAAACAACATTACTACTTAAAAACAACGACTAACAAGTAATACAAAGATTGTTCTGTAGAAAGACACAAATACAGCATATTAAATCAAAAATATTTCCTCGATGGTTTCAAGCTGTCCGCACATTTTTATAATCGTTTGGCGCTGCGTCCTTAAATGACTTACTAGATGACAGAGCCTCGGTCTCAGTAGAGGGGACTTTATGGATTTTTCCCCCCTTGTACACAAAGCTGCCCTCGATCACTTTGAAATCCAGGTACTGGGTCACCTTTGTGATCAGCAGCATGCGCACAAGCTGACCTGAGGGAAGGAGACGCAAACATCAGCGTTACGGTCACAAAAAGACGCCATTGCCTAAAGCCGGGTAAGCAGTATATTTTTGCCATCATTGGGCAAAAAATCCATAATGACCTTACAGAATATTTTAATTCAAGTGGTCGTAATGAAAACTAGACTTCTGCACCTCCCATTGGCTCCGTTTGCAGGCTTAAGAAAATCTAGCCAGTGATGGGAGACTTTGGCCAATCACAGGTTATTTCAGCGAGAGGGCGTTCCTTTGCACGTCGCTTTAGTGAACGCCTGATTCAATGGCAGAATATCCTGCAAGAAAAGTTGCTATTCCAACTTTTGGCGACTACTGCCTTGCCAACAACATAACTAAAAGAAAGCCTGAGAATATGAGCGAAGCGTTTCAGAGATTAAGAGAAAATGTTGCTAATAGGATAGCCTTCTGCTAACCTTAACCGCTGCAGCGCAGTCCTGACAGCTAAAGTTAGCAGCAGGCTAAGCTATTAGCAACATTTTCTCTCCATTTCTGAAATGCTTTGCCTAAAATCACAGTATGTCATCTCCCTTTACAGGTCCAAAAGTTTGCAAAGAAATTACTTTGTTACTGTATGAAGGACGATATGCCAATGCTCGTGGGAGGGGCTTAATGAGGGCTTTTCTTTTTCAGATTCTGCCATTTTTAATTTTATTTGCCTTTTCCAAAAGCCTAACCTAGGCTACCACTTGAGTTACAATATGCTGAAGGGTTATTATGGAATTTTTGCCCGATGGCACCAAAAATAAACTGCCTACCTCAGCTTTGATTGGTAAAAAAACATTTATTGAATATTAACATCCATGTCAATTTAGACTCTTTAATGATATGTATAGCAGTTCCTGCTGCTACTTAGAGTGGCTTTAAATATCAAATATATATATTAAATTATATTAAATATATATTTGAACTATGACACATACAGCACTAACAACAAGCTAAAGCTTACAGCTTTGCTGAGAACCATTAAAACAGGCGAGTTATCCAAGTAATACCATTGGCCATAAGGAATTTAGGGATGAGGTCCACATTCCAATCCCGGCCTTTTCCCATCGACTCAGAAGGTTTGCCTGGAAGGTCGAAGCGCTTGTAGAGCTGTAGAGACACACAGAACCAGACTTGATTCACAAGCTACAGCCAGTAACTTACAATTACACCAGAGGTGCATTTGAGGAAGTAAGGCCTCCATTAGCAAGTGGTCGCAGCGCTTGGTCGTGCAGCTCAGAATTTTTGTAACTTGGTGATCACGTGACCGCCACAAACAGTTCACTGATGAAAGCACTATCAACATGTCTAGGGACTATACAAAGAAGGCCAGCTCGCTTTTAAAATGCTTTAGAAACGGGTCTAAAAAACCTACATTTGAGTAAATATTTTGCAGCCAAATCAAACAGTTTACAGGATATTCAACCTTAGTTTCTTTATAATGCATTTAATTTGACTTGTTTCTTTACAGGGCTTGTACAAAGGCAATAAAGATGCCATGAATTTCAGATACGAGTTTACAGATGACTACAATCCCTTCATAGTGGAGGTTCATGCTCGGGGCTCAGCGCAAGTATAAACAAAGCCTTAGTAACACCGCTAACAACAATACGTATAAAATCTGGGCAGCGAAGAACCCCGTCTGAACGACCACCTTTATACTGGTTGCAGACCCTGTTTCTCCAGCTGTTGATGTCAGCTTTAAGATACGAAGTAAATATTTTGATGTTTATATATCACAATTCCACAGTTCTTGCTTCCTTATGTCCTCATGCTTTTAATTTCAAACCAATGTGACCGCCCCAGTGTAACAAAGCAGAGCCAGCAGCATCACAGATCAACTTACATCTTCAAGAGGCGTGATGGAGGCACTCTCAGCTCCGTAGTAGGAGTTGCGGTCCATGTGCAGAACCTTCTTCCCCTTCACTGACATGATTCCTGATAAAATGCATTCCTGTTGGGAGAAAAACAACCAAAAGAAGAATTAGACCAGGACCAATGTCCTTAGCAGCCACAGCCATGGGCAGGCTGCAGCGCATCATTCGCTCTCCTGAGAGGGTGGTTGGCTGCAATCTGCCATCCCCCCAGGACTTGTTCGCCTCCAGGACTTGTTTGCTTCAAGGTTCCTAAAGCGAGCAAGAAAGATTGTAGCCAACCCCTCTCACCCTGGACATAAACTGTTCGAGCCCCTTCCATCTGGCAGGAGGCTGCGGTCCATCAGGACCAAGACCTCACGCCACATCAACAGTTTCTTCCCGTCTTCAATTGGGCTCATAAACAAAGCCCGGGACCCCCACTGACTCTGTCATCCCCAGGACAATTTCCTACCGGTCATTCCCCTTCTCTGTTTATTTATTTAAACACACTCGACACTTTTACACTCCACTTCATCATACTTGTTTATAGTACCGTTATCTGTTTGTGCACTTTATTTTATATTGTTATTCTTTTATATTCTATTGTAAATTTTAATATGTTTCTATTTCTTGCACAGTGTGGAATTGTTGTTGATTGTTTGTTATGCACCACCCGCCATGACAAATTCCTTTTATGTGCAACATTCATTGGCAATAAACGGTTCTGATTCTGATAGGATGCTGATGGTAATGGTAAAGCACTATCGCCATCGGAACACTAAACGCATGTATGCGATTGTTCCGTTTGTGCTCTAATGATCGATCTCACATTAACCACTTTTTAATAAAGAGTGACAGATGGCTGTTGTCGAATTTAATGTATAATTACAAATCCTGACTCCAGTTTCCTGCATTCCCCTCAGTACTGTGAACCCCTTATTCAGATTTTCCACTGTGTGTCACTCACAATCGTGAGTAAATGTTAAAGATGGCTTTGGACACAAAAGACTGAAGGGACACCGTATTACCAAGTTTAACAGAAACAGGAATAGGACGGTATCCACGACTTCAGTTCTGCCACACCCAGTACTAACATAATGTCTGACATGCTGCTGCGGAGCTGGGCGGATGATTATAGCCTTCACATGGACTTAAGTCTCAGTGCCTTGGTTATGATGAGGGAAAATGTGCATGTTGACCAGACACTGGAATTCGCACAGACCAAAGGCCATAATGCGATTACTGCGTGCATCATGTGACTGTGTGGACTTTCCTCTAAAATAATTACTATCGAGTGACAGCTTTACAATATGGCCGTGCAAGGTATAACTCATTTCTCACATGACCAAAAAACAAACACCAGCGCCTCATAACTTTCACTGGATGTCACCTTCGCTCCCTCAGTGTAGAGATGGTGGCCTGTAATGACATAGGAAGTTTCTGGGTTTGTACCATTTCTTTCTTTCAGAAGAGACATTTCTGTTTCCCAACTTCATACTGGTTATAAACCCATTTTTATGATTCTTACAAGTTGTTGGTTTTTTTCAGCAAGATAACCATCACAAATTAACAACTACTTTTATGATTTCAAGACTCAAAAAAGAGGGAGCAATGTCTGCCTCCATCCAGTAACAATACAGCAAAAACCGGCAGAGCAACCTCCCCACAATAAACTCCACCGGCCCTCACTTTACTGGACTCAACGCGCAGTTTAACACGCAATGAACTTGTACGATTATCACAAGGTCTATAGACATTTTAATCCGTGACTTTTGTCAATATAATTATCTCCACAAAATCTCCAGGACAGGATGATAAATGAATGTGTATGAAATTTAGTTTTGCTGGTGGGGCCTGCACAGACTGCTGTTATTAAAGCTGAATGCATTGAAACAATAAAGCGGCCCATTCATAACCTCGTATTTACTGCACTTTCTGCATAAGTGCTCTCCCAAAATAACATGCGCCAGTGAAATCGGATCGCCTCTATAAACGTCTGGGTTTCATCTATTGTCTGAGCTTGCAATGCCGCTGACTTGAAGGGCATAAATTCAGGCTTTTCATCATTCTTTTGGGAAGACGGAGCAGTTCCGATGCGTCACTGTCACTCCTTTCTGGTGACATGTGATTGAAGCCGACCTACAGCTGCTTGTATGAATACAGGCGTTGACACACAGCCGGAGGCAGCGTAGTCCTCACTACATCAGCCAGCACTACATCAGCCAGCTAGTAGGGGCCATGCTGACAGAGGAAAACAAACACTGATCCAGTGTACAGTCAGGCAGAAAATCAAGCCAGTACCAAACCATTGTGACCAAAGGCAAAATTCTCAGTTCAATTTTTAACACATAAGACCCATAAAAATGTGTGCGAGAGGCAACAAAGTCCAACACAGAAGACAAGAACTGGATGTGTGTCTGCAGTTCAAAACAATTCCATCACATGACAGGGAGTTACAACCACGGCAGGACTATACTTGCTTACAGTTTATGAAACTTAAAACTTCTAAACTGCTCTCAAGTGTTTTAAATCTGTTGGATCTGTTAGATACACAGCAGATTAAAGTTCGACATGCAAAACATGTGATGAGCTTATAAAATCAGATGGAAATGTCTTCAGAGCCATTTTCATTTTTAAGATTATTATTTTCCAGCAGAATTTGGTAAATATAAAGTTACAGTAGTAACGGAAATCTTTAAGCTTTGTACGGTGTAATTGATTGTTTAACAGACCTCCCTTATTCATTATATAGCGAGTGAAAGCAAGCATTGTGTCCATTTCCTCTCGTTAAATACCATATCCTCCTTTTGATGGGCACAAAGATAGCAGCAACTGTAAACTTCTTACTGGAGAAGGCAAAAGTTATCTAGCACGATGAAAAGAATAGTTTTACTTTATATACTTGTGTATATTAAACTTTAGGGCTGCAACTAACAAACATTTAGTTTTTGGAGTAATCTACCAATTCTATTCTTTATAAATCAGTTTGGAGGCAAAGATTTTTTATATGTTAAAAAATACTGGAAAAAAGTCTAAAACTTTATTAAATTAGTTTCAAAGTTTTGAATGGAGAACTTTATTCCACTGCAGTATTGCTAGTTTTTTCTTGGGAGGCTAAGTAAAAGTTTTGTCCATCACTACTATCCCCCCCAGTCAGTGCTGCAGGAATGAGTCCTAAAACCTGGAAATGAGTCAGCATTTTTGCCCTTCTGGTTCCCTCGTGTCAAAGTTGATGGGTTTATTTAAATGGATTTTTGGTTAGATGCCTTAAATAAGGTTTGTGGTTTACACAAGCTCAAAAGATTTAAATTTTTTGTTGTACTATCTTGTGCCAAGCCACTCCCCTCATGTGTCATTAGTAGTGGACAGATGGGGAAACCCCATCTCCCAGTTGCATAACCCAATGACATAAAAAGGTGCCATTGGTGGCAGAAAATATTCCATTGAAGAACACAAAACTAGTGCATACTGTTGCATAAATAATATACATTAGATGATTAGAATTCAGTGTAACCTGTTGAGTTAGTAGTCATAGTAGTGCTCATGTAAAATGGTAATCTGTCAAATATACAGAAGTTAAGTCACTTATTTGCATAACGGAAGTAAAAATAAAGTGAAGCTTCTGTGCAGCGGTCTGCAGGGCTGGCAGTCAGTCTAGCTCTCAGATTAGTTGCAGTGTACTTTCGTTTCCTCAGCCTTGGTGGAACCACACCCAAATGTGAGCTAACTCAACACTCAGCCCACCAGAGAAGTTAACTAAGCCCCTTTCTGCTCTGCTGCCACCTCAGCGTGCTCTGAACCTAAAGCAAAGCACTTTGCAACTCAGTGTTTGACATCATAAAAAATATAAATTTATAGAAACGTAAGGCTGTGTTGAACCGCAGATGACATCAGAATCAAAACTGTGTACTAGGGCTCTTCAGATTAAGAACAGTCCAGAAACTGCTATGAAAGTTGACAGGAAGCTGCCCACTGGCCTCGCGGTACTGTCACGGCAGTCATGCACCAGAACAACCGGAAGACCCAGAAATGCGGATATAGAAGCAGTTGTTATGAATCTAACAACGCAGTTTTTGTCCACCATTTATTTTCACACCACTTAGTGTCAATCCAGATGGCCATGTTCTTGTGAAAATATTATTGTATTGGAATGAGATGAGATGAAGATGAAAGTCGGGAGGCCTGTAGTATAATAAGGCTATTGCATGGTCAACACTGACAAGCTTAATATCCGGGTAAACAAGCCCTACACATGGGGAATAGCTCATGATCTGCCACCTCACATCCTCCTCAGCTTCTCTGGCGTTTAATATGCAAGTTGAAACGACACAAGAATTTCAAGTTAATTTATAGGTTATCAACCCATTGATAAAGTTCCTGACTGACAGTCACATAGTCCACAGTAATCCTGTGATTTCGGATAATCAGTCAGTATGGTCTTTACCAAAACGCCCTATCATTAAAGTGATGAGGCTTCGTTAACTTTAATTATTAAGACTGTATACGACAGCTTCTTTTTACTCGCCAGCCTGTTGAGTCCAGGAGCATAGCATAATCTCAAGGAAGCTTTAGTTAGCTCCTTAATGTTTTTTAATACTTTAATAAAACAACACAGACTGCGATAAAGTCTACAACCGAGTTGACAGGTTCCGTGCACGAGAGATTAGTCGGGAAAGCTGACCCGCAATTATTCTGTTGTTAGCGGGCTGATTAGTTAGCTTAATTTGGGTCGGCTAACGTTAGCAGACTAATCATCCGCGTATAACCTTATCTTGACTGAGAGACTGGCGTCCAAATAACCAGTTAAATTACCGATGTACCTACATTCATAGTCCCCAGAACAACGTAAAGCCACAACAGAGTGAGAGTTGAACGTATCTTGAGTACGTTAACATTTAGGTAACGTTAATCTTTCCAGACACCGATAGCATTTGAAGCTAGCATAGTGCTAACAGTTACCGTTAGCTACTTTGCTCGCAGTTTCCTTTAGCTAACAGGTATTCGCTCACTCGCGGTTAGCGGCTAAGCTAGCTATTTAGCACTAGCCCTGCTGATTAGGCCTCGTTAGTTCAAAGCGCTAACTGCGTCGGTAACAGGTTGCAAATCACTTCCACGATGCGAAATGCATCGTTTGTTTCTTTCTCACCGTAAGCCCGGTGCCCAAAACGATAACGTCGTATTCTTCATTCATTTTTCCAAGTCTTCACTCCTCCGCTACAGAATATCGGGAAAGAAGAAAATGGAGATCTGCGGGGCTGGAACTGAGAAGGGGCTGCGGTTCAGCGTCAGGCGCCTCGGGGGGCGGGGCTTCTCATCTGTCAATCACTTGGAAGAAGAGCGCGTGTGTGAAGATATAACGTCTTATTATTTAAGAAATAGAGAGACGCAAGAGGACAGGCAGACAAAATACCAAGATAGACCAGCCAGTTGACATGTTATAATAATTACAACGTCTTAAGTTCTCACCACGAGCCTCTTACTGTACTGTGTGTCGTGTGCTGTGCATATCTTAAGATTCAGGTTATGCATTTAGATAATATTTCACACTTTGCCTTGGTTTGGTAAATGAGTCAACTGGGCTTCTGAAAAAAACGTTTTCACCTTTTCTTAAAATACAATTTATTAATGGTTTGCTTTCTAACCACATGACCTAAAATAACAAGTGCTATTGTATGTTATTTATTGTTGAATGTCATTCGTCTTACATTCTGTGTTCTCTACAGTTTCTCCCACCTTGTATGTAGAATACATGGTCACTCTCATTCAATTAAGTTTTACCTATTTTAAAATGTCTATTTTTGTAGGAACTCATCATGTCATATGAGGAATTCCACCATCAAGTCAAGTGTAATGATGTACAATGCCTTGCAGTCTCTTTACACTATTTGTGTTGCCAGAGTGGACTACATTTATGGTAGACACACCTGTTGAGTAAACCCAGTGATGTTCACAAAGTCAGCCTCTGTATTACTCACCCAAGTGACTCAACTCAGGAGCCTAAAACTACATTTCAATACATACAACACATTTACACAGACCGGTTTTGACAAACGAGGCCTTCATGCAAACTAATGCACACCAGCCGGCGAAAAAGACTAGAGAATTGTCAGAGGTGGTTGCTAATGGTTCAAGCTTAGGTTTTGTTTTGCGTCTGACATAACAGCAACAATTGTACAAAATCATAGACAGGCAGGTGTGGCATACACAAGGCAAATCATTTGTACAATCATGTCTACACCTCACTGCATAGCGTTCTCTAAACAAGATACTTACTCCCATGCCGGCCTCTTGGCACAAACACCATTATGGCCTTTTAAAGTTCTTTTTGGAGGCACTTTTCAAGTTATAGCAGTCTAATTCACGAAAGTCAGGTCTGATGTAAATAAAAGACACTAAAGCAAGACCTTTGTTCAACTCAATGAGATTAAAGTCCCCAAATTCTGTCACTCAATAATACACCACACAACAAGTTAAGATTTATTACACCCTAAATTGATTTACTTTAATCACATTAAAGGTTTCAGGTTCTTCTCTCTACTTAAATCACACATCTGCATCCTGTACCACAAACGCTATGTTATGATGGGTCCGGTAGGCCACATTCAAACACTCGCACTACGTCTGGTTTTCTGGCATGCTGCATTGCTGTCGTGCCACATGCGTCCTCTGAGTCTTTGAGTCCGAGCTGCAGGAGAGTCCTGGCGGTGTCCGCGTGCTGCCCGATGCAGGCCATGTGAAGAGCTGGGGAAGAGAGGAGAACAGAAGAGGATTTTTGACCCTCCAGGCCGCCATTGGTTTTATTTTGAAAACCATGTCGCGTTTTATGTGGATCCCCATTTGCTGTCACTATTGTGAGCTTTAGCTGGTCCACACGTAATAATAACGCTTCGTTTAGTAGCCTTTATTTATTTGGTCGCAGTTGTATTTGTTTTATGCGGTAATGCAGCTGAAAGCCTAAACTAATTTGAAAGCTATTTCTTGCTGGTGCATTCAAGTTGTGCTGGAAGGTTTCTTCATCAAAGCCTGAAGACTGTTCTTTTCATAGCCTCTATATTCATTTCCTCAGGATTCGATTTTTGGGACAATACAGCGCTTGAATAAAATGCTCTTGAGCTGTCTATCTATCTAATATTTCCATAGTGTTCTTAAATGAACTTTGTAATCAATAGTGAAAAGGACATAACATCTTCAAATCTTCTTTTCAAGTTATCACCACCTCATCCTCAAAATGACATGAAGCAGATGAGCCGAGTTTGACTGTGAAAGCCTAATTTAATAATACTTAAGTGTGCTGTTCTCTAAACTTGAACTTTCATCGTTGGTTATTTAGCCTTGAATAATAATATTATAGAGAGATACTTAAGATTTGAAATCACATTTCCAGGGGCTTTAATTTAGTTTAGAACGAAAGGGACACCACTGCAGAGCTGCAGTGCCAAACCCAACATGGAGTGTGATACACTGCTTACCAGTTCTTCCCTTTTTGTCCCGAACGTGAAGATCTGCCCCCAGCTCCAGCAGAGTTTTTATAGTGGACGTGTGGCCCTCCTGTAAAGCACAGATTGAAATGAGGAAGGAGAGTTTAAGGTGTGTTAGTTGTGTTTGTGAATATTCCCATATTGTAGTCGTACTACTGGCACTATTCTGTATAAACCACACCTATGGCATCAGTTATAGAGTTTGATAGATAATATCACATATGCTACTTCTATCACACAAAATACAGCAGACAAATCAATGATTTGATGACTATTAATCTGTGTAATCAAGAGCTGTGACCTTCTCTTCCTTCGACTTAATTCCTGTTAACTGCTAGTGACCCTTTTAGGTGTGTATTACCAAACACACACACACACACAGTGAGATGTAGATCATCATCTCACCGTGCATGCTGTGAGGCCAGTTGTTTTGGGTGTTACAGCTGACTCAATATGTGGATGTATTTTCTATTTAAATTGTAATTTCCTTTTCTTTCAAATGATTTGAGCTACTCCACAATCTTTCCACGTATCTCTTAGCAACTGCAGAAGTATCCCTTTAAGGTACAAGAACCCCAGTTACTGATCCAACCTTTGCAGCATAATGCAGGGCACTGAGCTGGATGTCGGTGGCTCTCTGATTCACGTCTACGTTTAAGCCCTGCACCAGGAACCGCAGCGCCTCCTCCTGGCCGGTGACGGCGACCTGGTGCACCGCCTGAGCCCCAAGTACGTCAGCCGCTGTTGGAGACGCCTACAGCACACAAGTCATGACGTGGCAGTGCATGTAAATACCTCAATTTCTAGAAAAGCTGAAGCATTATTGAACTGAAAGGCCTTGTTCTACCTGGTGTTTCTCTAGAAGCAGCCGGGCCACAGAAATGTGTCCGTTCCTGACGGCATCCATGAAAGGAGTAACTCCACAGCTGTCAGTGCAGCCCGGGGCGTAGCCACATCTGGAAGAGGACCAGTGAAGGTGAGGGTCAGTCAGACATGGTTATCTGTGAATCATCATCAAGCTCAGAAAGTATGGAGCTACTGTATATTCATCCCACATATCAAAGTGTGGACGTTGCAGTGTCTACAAACAGGATTGTAACCATCAGGCATCATATGTATATGACGCAGATGAATGACTTTAAAGGGTGATTGTTGACCTTGGAAATAGTACTTTGACAAACATTCTAGTCAAGCACAAGGTATATTTTCACATCTACATTTTAGATTTTCAAATAAAGCTGAAAACTCCACAATAGTGGTAAATGCACCTAGTAGGTTTTGAGCTAAACCCAGTAACTAACTAAACCTCTACCTGCCCTCCACCAAAACAGCAGGTGGACAAAGTGGAGCGTTTAACAACTGAAGAGCTTGAAGTGGAGAGCAAAACAGAGCTCAAGCGGCCAAAACACAACTCCAAATGAATGCTAATGTTGCTTCTTATCTGTTGGTTATGCAAATGAGCAACTGTTTGCTCAACTTGAATTAGCATGCCTCCGTCAACCGTCAACGTCAAGTTGCAGTTTACATCCATGTCTGTCCGTAGTGTCATCATTTGATCCTATTAAGACATTTGTGTGAAATCATATGACTTCTCGAGTTATGGCCAAAAAAGGTGTTTCGTGAGGTCACAGTGACCTTTGACCACCAAATTATAATCAGTCCAGCCACGGCTGTAGCCAGCACGGAGGTATAAAAAAAAATAAAAAATTCATATTAACTTAAAAGATCACAGTGTTTCCAGAGCTTATTGAAACATTTCACAAACTGGACTTTCCATGCGATGTGTTTCGAGAATGTACAAATGTCCAGCCTACCTCTCCAGCAAGATCCTAACAACCTCCTCACAGCCGTGCATCGCTGGAAGAGACAGAGAGAGAGCTGGTTATAGTCTGAGGTTGAACGCAAGAGGTTCCTCACACATAACGTATCCATGGGGATGGTGAGGGATGCTTTACCTGCAGTGTGCAGTGGAGTCCTGCGCGTCTTGCTCTCCGTCCTCCAGACGTCCGGCGCGACAACAAGCAGGTGCTGGACGACCAGGGGATCACCCTCCCTGGAGGCGATGTGGAAGGAGTTCCAGCCGTCCTTGTTTTTCAGTGCGGGGTCGGCACCATGGCACAGCAGCTCCCGGATCACGCCGAGGTTTCTCCGAGTGCAGGCCATCATCATGGGAGTCCTGAGAGAGAAGAGGCAACACTGACGTCTACTCTGACCAAGTGAAATCTATGTTGTCAGTCACATAACAAGCTCACATGCCAATTAAAAAAAGGATTTTTAAACATTATATCAGGGAAATAATATTTGCAAATAAAAGAAATTACATTCAAAATTGTAAATAGTTCACAGTAAATGATCAAATCTGTCCTTTTAAATCTTTACTTAAACTATTCGACTAGGAACCATCAAATGAACTGTGCATGTTGTTGTGATGTGTGGTGTATAGTGTTGTGAAATCCTAACCTTCACAGTTCTTAAATCATGTCATCAAATATTAAATTGTGCATTAGCTCTAATAATAAGTGATTAGGCCCACTTTGTGTCCCTCGCGTAGGAAGACTAAACTTTTCTCTCTGTTTTTTTTACAATGCAGTTAAAATGTTATTTACACATCAAAATACAAAAAGATATATATGTATGATTTTAAAACTTTTACTTTACATATTTATTTCTTTTGTTGAGGCATTGTACATCGATCACCTTGTTTGGGCAAGGAAATGGTCACAACTTGGAAGACTGGTTTAAAACTTTTTTTAATGTGCAGGGCCAAGAAATACTTTTTGATGCAGATGGACGGGAAAGTGTTTGAGGCTTCTGGAAAGAGGAAATACCTTTATGACACAGCTTTTAGGCTTTGTCTTTGACAAAATAGATTTTTAGCTCTGAGTTGAATGTAACCATACCACAGGACATGGACAAAATGGGCTTGTAATCGATAAACCGGCTGTTGCTGATTCCGTATCATTGTTCTCTCGGACAAGAGTTTCGTAAATAATATTAAGATAACGATAAAATGCCTCTATATTCAATTGAGTAAAACAAAATATATCTCCTTCGAGCCGGATTCGAACCAGCGACCTAAGGATTTCAGCATGTTGCCTCTACAGTCCTCCGCTCTACCAACTGAGCTATCGAAGGGAGATGACATCCACAGGACGACAGTTTGGTTTTACCACATATGTACACGACTATTCGCTGCTTAATTGTAACCGGGTCGATATCTTCGTACTCACCAGTCAGCTTTCTTCAAGCTGTCCACCTTGGCTCCTTCTCGGAGCAGGTAGCTAACACAAGCCTGGTGGCTCATGGAAGCAGCTTCGTGCAGCGGTCTCTTGTAGTCGTTGTTGTACACCTCCACATCCGTGCCTATCCGCGTTATTAGATACTCCATAATGTCCAGGTGTCCCTTTCTGGCAGCGTAGTGCAGCAGGGTGTCCCCTGACCGACCAAAGTGTTTACTGCCGACAGTCTGAACCTCCGCCGAGCCACCTAATGATATGAGTTTCTCCAGAGAACTCAACTGTCCCTCCTGAGCGAGCTTCACCAGCAGCTTACACGTGTTTTCGTCCATGTTGGGTGGAGGTTAAAGGCTGCAGCAGGAACACAAAGTCGATTTAATAGTCAAAATGACAGAAAATAGTTAGTTGGGCTTCTTGAAGACATGCCGGAGAGAGCTGTTTAGGTTGTTTTCGCAGAGTAGCAAACAATTAAGTGGCCAACCATGACCTTACGCTGTTCATATCTGTCCATACATAAGGCAATAACAAAAAGGGCAAGGACAAACAAAAGTTATTGTTATTGTTGAAATGTAATAATTGTGTAATTTGAGCAAATCAATTGTTAACATTTGGCGCTAATCCCCTTCGGTCGGAATGCTCACTGATACGAATTTTACATATAAAAACATTACTTTAAGTTTAAACTAACTAAAAATGTTTATTTCGTGAGGGAAAACGCGTAAAGGGCTTAATACATGTTGATAATTGAATAATTTAAACATTATTCATGGTCAGCAAATATTTATAGATCAATATTATTAATATCTACAGGCCTAACAAATGTGACATCCCAAACTGTTGAAGCAGGAATAAACTTTAGTCGTCCTTTCCAGCACAGCGACACGCTGGGCTTTTTGGGAAATGTGGTTTTTGTAAAGATTTGCGATTTGGCTCACTAAAACACCCCCAACCTGTTTTAAATCAGTTATTTCTGTCAGGATATGACTTTAAAGGTGATTTGCCAATGTTTTAGATTGATAAATACCACTTTAAGTACATGGCTCAGCCCGCTGGTTAGAATAGATTTGTATTCCTCACTTAGTACTAGTAAGTACGGTAGCAAGCCTTGAGCAAGACATTTAAAAATAAACTAACCTCCAGGGCTCCGTAAGTTATGCAGAAATACAGTTTCCAGTATCATTTCTGCTTAACATATGGAGCCCCAACAATCCCACTTTTCTCCTCCGTGGCTTCTTCTGGCTAAATGACAGCAACGAATCAGAGCGCTGGTGAAAAAGATGAGTCCCATCTGGAAGGAGAGAGAGAGAGAGAGAGAGAGAGAGAGAGAGAGAGAGAGAGAGAGAGAGAGAGAGAGGAGAAAAGTGGGATTGTTGGTGAGGGTGAGTCTCAGTCCTCAGAGGTTTTACAACATGGACCATGAACATCAGGAATGAGACTGACTACCGTCTTTATTTCTGGTAAGTATAGGCTGCATTTGTGATATTTTAAATGTGCTCTAAATTGTGCTACATGACTCATAAGTTACATATCAAACCAACAGGGACACACCTCCATTTATCTCTGACTTCTACAGGGCATGTTCACTAAGATAATGCATTTTTTACCCATATATGTATGTTGTATATTGTGAAGTATGATTTGTGCATTTTGTGGTATGTATGCAACCCTGTTCTATATGTTATACGAGAGAACCTTTTGTCCTGCCACACTGGAAAAAATAACTATCTTTACAAAAAAAAGTGTTAATTTTTAACTTTAATACCAAGTGAAAGAAAATCTGTAAATGTGTAATGCATGACCCAGTTTGCCATTGTGTCAATTCAATTCCATAGTTTTTTGGAGCGAGGGTTTGTTTTTTAATACTTAGGCCTTGAGGGAAATGATTTGCCTCATTTAGGCTTGTTTCAAAAATTGTTTTTTAGAAAATTCCCTCAAAATGATTTAACTCCATTGCAAATCTACGAAAAGTTACAGACATTTTCTTTATTGTGAGTCTTGAAAAAGTTAACCGCTTCACCCAGGTTAGGAATTTTTTGCAGTGTGATGACTAGAGTAGTATGGTTTGCACCCCCAACCCCCACCCCCTGAGAGTTTACATGTAACTGTGTGTCTGGATTCCACACAGTTACAACCTCAGAAGCTGGTTTCTACATTAAAAAAAAAAAAATCCCGCCTCCCAATTCCTCGATAATGCCTTGAAGAAGCCATTTAAGGAAAATAATATAGTGTGAGAGTTCATATTTGGTGCTAGAATTATGCAAAAACATTGACAGTGTGACTTTAAATGCATTAAGATTCAAGAACACATTAAATGTCAGCACAATGCATTGTCATTTGGAAAGTCTTGAGTGGATTACCATGCTGGCCAGTTTAGTATCTGGAGCTAATCAGGTCCAGATGTTTTGGGCTGCTCTAAACAGTGACAAACAAACCAGAAACAAATGCATGACACAAACTGCACGCCCTGTCCTCATTCGGTTCAAGTGCTGAAACATGAAAAGCAGACAGAGTCACTACTGCTGGTGTGAAACTGATGAACAACTTAAAAGTGTGCCGTTACCTGCCGAGGGCTCGCCACTTCGCACCGAATGCACAAGAGAAGAGTTACATGAGTTGACGATTTACAGAGGATGGAGGGGGGGGGAATAAAAGGAGGGGTTTTAAGCTGTTGGACAGTTAAGATGAGCGTTTTGTTGTTTCTTGTGAAAGCACTTCTATTCTGTAGTTATATAAAAGCTGAAAAAGCTGGAAGGCAAACATATTCCTCGAAGAAGCCCTGGCACCAGGAAGGAAGGAAGTGATGGAAGGTTTTGGACAAGCACAGCCCCATGTGTCCTCCAGTGTCTCCTGGCTTTGGGCCTCGGAGAATTTACTGCAGGTCCGGTCACCATGGTAGTTTGTAACAGTCACAAACACATATGTGCAAGACATGTGGCATTTCTGTGTGTGCTTTTATTTTCACATTTTACTGATTTGTCTTTGTGTTAAGTGTTCAATTTGACCATCGCTTTTGGATCCAACCAACCCCATCCTCAACAAGTCTTAATCAAATCCAGCAATATGAGGGCCCTAAAGTGGTTCCACAAATCTTGAATTGACAAAAATACTATAATAATATAATGTGACCACACTGTTCTCCATGAACAAAAGAACCCGGAGCTCCTCTCTGCATCTGTTCAATGCGTCATACACTATAAAACTACAGCTAAGCAATAGGCCCTTTCCACAGCAGCCATTTTGACATTGGTTGGCCCCGATCCATTTAAGGCCCAGGTATTGTGCATGCTTGCTGACCGGAAACGGCGGGTTACACACTAAAAAGAATGTGACCGTGATAAATGTTATCAATTAAACCGGTTTAACCTGCTATAAAATCACAAAATGGCTGGAGTTGCTCCGGTGAACTCCGCACTATACTAATAAAAGTTATGTACCTATATTTTCGGATAGAAACCATCAGTTTTGTTTATTGGGTTAATTTAGCATTTGGCACCACAAACTAAGACGCCGCTAGCTAGCTGCCATTGCCGCTGTTAGCTAGCTAACGATCATCACTTTTGGTGAGTGCCGAGCAGCCATTGGAGACAACGCTACCCTGTCGAAATTCACACTACGCAAGTAACGATATAGTGTACACCAGTGTACTACATGGAAGTGTACTGGCAGAAGTTCTTCCTGGTTTGAGAGAAACATTTTGGATTAGGAGGAACTTCCTTTGCCAATGAAAGAAAAGTACGGCGCAAAGACGAGAGGGTACCTACTGCAGCACTCTATTTCATCTTTTTACCTCCTCTTGAGTGACTAAATAGCTCTCTTTATCTCTGTATGTTTGCAGATGTCGCTGGAAGCAAGCATGAAATATGAGTCTCCTGAGAAAAAGTAAGTAAAAAACAAATTTTAATACAAATGTAATTGTGGCTGATTTATGGTCATGGGTTCTATAATTTGACATGAAATCTTCCTGTTGATGGACAGTAACACTAGACAGACTCATATTAGATAGATAGATAGATAGATAGATAGATAGATAGATAGATAGATAGATAGATAGATAGAAAATGTATTCATCCCCAGGGGGAAATTAGATTGTAGCGGCAGCAATTTACAGAGTAAAATATAATATATACAGTACAATAAAATAACAGAGCAGATATTGAATTTGAAGAAATAGAATAATACAAAATAAGATAAAACAGAATAAAATATAAAAATGCAAAAAATGCACAGTATATACAATTTATTAGAATGGTATTAAATTAACAACTAGGTAAACTAAACAAACTAAACAGTTGTCCAAGAATCACCAACAACAAGCAACAACCGCGTAGCGTTGTTGTAGTCATTTGAAGGATGATGATCTGGCCAGAGGTGATTTATTATACAGTCTAATGGCAGTGGGCAGGAAGGTTCTCTGTATCTGTCCTTGTGACAGCGGAGCTGGATCAGTCTGTTGGAGAAAGTGCTCTGCTGTCCCTGCAGTAGGTGGTGGAGAGGGTGTTCCGGGTTATCCAATATGGATAATAGTTTCTTCAGTGTCCTTCTCTCCACCACCTCTTCCAGATAGTCTTGTTTGCTATGATGATGGAGCCGGCCTTCTTAACCAGTTTATTAAGTCTGTTGGTGTCTCCGGCTCCAATGCTGCTCCCCCAGCAGACTACGGCGAAGTACAGTGCACTGGCCACAACAGACTGGTAGAACATCTCCAACATCTTGCTGCACACGTTGAAGGATCGAAGTTTCCTCAAGAAAAAGAGTCGACTCATCCCCTTCTTGTACACAGCGTTGATGTTGGTCTGCCAGTTCAGTCTGTTGTCGATGGACACACCCAGGAACTTGTACTCCATCATGTCCACATCCTCTCCCAGAACTCTCAGCGGGAGTAATACTATTTATTTCCATGTAGTTTTTTTTGAAGATTTATCTTGAGAGTTTGCTCAAGTATGTTCACGTGGTAGACCACCTGTATATAGTCGGAGCAGGCTCAGGTCCACACCTGGTTCTTAGCTTCATTATTTTTTTAATTGCTGTATTGCCTAAAGTCGACCACCATCTCTCTGGTCTTGGTCACGTTCAGAATCAGGTGATTTCTACCGGCCCACTCTACAAAGTGTTAGGTTTAGATGTTTTCAGGGGAGACCCAGACCGCTGGACTTTCCAGTCGCACCAAAAATGAACTGGATCCGGTTAACAATCAAAAAGTATTTAATAAACAAGAAAAGCTAGAACAGTTGCAAACTGAATTACTCTATCGATATCAATATGTCCCCAGGGCAGAGTTCTCACAAGGCCCACTAAATAGCCCAGCCCAGCTGGTAAACTACCCAGAGTGGTAACGGCGCGACCTCTGGCCAAAACCCTCTGGAACTAAGCCTATATTTAAAAGTCTCTGTCCGAAAGTTTAAATGTCCAGTATCAGCCTCTGTGATTGGCCGAAATTCAATAGCCCCTCCTGGCTTGGGGCAGTTATCATCTCAGTGTTTGGTTGAAGTCGTCCGGACTCCTCCTCAGGTCCTGGTGGTCAGTTGTCCATCCCTCTGTCCTCTGCTGCACCTCTGTAAAGTCTCACTCAAAATGTTCCCTTTCTGACCCTCAAAACTATTCATACAGTGTTTTAATACCTTTAGTGACTATACTTCTATGGTTTAATACAGTCAATGAGTAAAATACTGTAACATAATATCCTCTACAAGTAAGAATATTGTAAACATAATACATTCCATAAGTAAATATTTTGTGACTCTAACATATTTTGACATTCTTATTATTGTGACACTTCTACTCACCACTTGGGTGTTATTTAATCCTACTAATAATGCTTTTAATACTGAAATCCTTAACAAAAGTCATCCACTGCCCTGTTCTCCTCCTCCCGTCCATCCCTTATACACCCGACCACTGCAGAGTCATCAGAGAACTTCTGCAGATGGCATGACCCTGAGCACAAGGTGAACAGTTCCCTGTGGAGCTCCAATACCACTGACCACCGTATCAGACAGCACACGGCCCAGTCGGACAAACTGTGGTCTGCCTGTGAGGTAGTCAGTGATCCAGGAGACAGTGGACGTGTTAACCCCCACCACCCGCAGCTTCTCACTCAGCAGCACTGGTTGGATGGTGTTGAATGCACTGGAGAAGTCAAAGAAAGTGATTCTCACAGAGCCACCGGTTCCATCCAGGTGCAACTGAGCTCGTTGCAGCAGGTAGATGATGGCGTCGTCCACTCCCACATGAGGCTGTGGGAGTGGACTATTAACAATAGCATCAGTATTACTTTGTGCAAAGGCCAGTGAGGAAACCCCCATATTTCTCTCAAGGGAAGCATCCAGCTTCCATGCACGTGCACCAAATGTGTGTTTGTATGTGTGTGTGTGTGTGTGTGTGTGTGTGTGTGTGTGTATGCTGGGGGAGGGTTGATGAGGTAACCAGATGTCAGGCTGTAATGAGTTAAAATGTAGGATTCCATCCAGTGTGTGAAAAGCAATTTGGACTGAAAGCAAAATACATCTATGTTCACCCAACATTGTTAAAGCACTAAATGTCTGTCTCAACCCTTGCTTTTGAGGAATTTATCTGCCTTTTGGGCAGTGGTGGGCTTCAGCTTTTATCCAATCAGATTCAGCCCCTATGTCTCTATGTAAGGAGAGAGGCCCGATGCCCGCTAGAGAGCCTTTGCAGTTTAAGTGAATGGGGACGATATTGTTGATTGTCATAGTCTTCAACCAATCAGATCTTTAGTTTGACATGTTGGGCGTATTCTTTGACGTGCCAGTGCTACCCAGGTAGCCTGCTAAGTATATCAGCATTAACGTGCGCCGTGATTGGTCAGTGGGCCAGCGCGTGACTAATGTGAAATTTAAGGAAGCTTGGCAGAAGTTAGTTGGAGTAGTAAGAGTTCAAATTGAAAGATATGGAATAAATTATAACATTTTTAGGGTTTTGCTTGGTGTAGTTTATTTATTTTTATGAACGGTGTTCCTGGCTGACAGCGTTGCACATTTTATGGCTGGGAATGTGTTTCATTTTAACTGAGCGTCTTGGTGTTTGGAGCTACGCGATGCTAACCTGAGGACGCCATAGCACGGCAGGACACTACGGTGCTTTTGAAAACTTTTGGAGAAACCCGAGTGGATCCACAGATCAACGAACACGTTCGCAGGGAAATGGAGCTCCACAGCCGGCCGGTCCAACTGTAGTAGGACAGCACAGAAGGCCCAGGTATAAAATGCACGGCCCGCCACTGCTTTTGGGTGTATGTCTCATCTTTAACTGTACATCAAAAAGTACATATGTGCAATCCTTGATCTGGGTCAGCAAGTCCTGAATGTGTAAAACTGCTGCTCAGGTAGCATACTGTGCAGAAGTAGCTATGGCACCTGGATGAGCAGCCAGACATGATAAAAGTGTCTGTTAACAGGTTGCAGATGGGTATTCGATCCTCCTTTCTCTTATGTCTGCCTGACTGCAGCTGGTGTTCAACTTTAGAGGTGAAACACAATGTGTATTTCTGCTGCAATGAGAAGTAAACAATACAGTGAAATGTCAGCACTTTAATCTTTATAGGAATAGTTTGACATATTATTTTTCTTGCTGTGAGTTTGAGAAGATCGAAAAGTCTCATTTTTTGTTAAGTATGGTGCTGGGACGAGAGGCAATTAGCACAGGGTAACTGCTAGCCTTGTGCTGTCCACATTACACCTATGAGCATATGTGAAGTTCACCAATTAACACATTTTCATTTGTTTAATCCGTACTCCAACTGAACAAAAACATTTTATTTCTACATGATGTGTAAATAAATAAATAAATATGTCTTGAAGAGCAACCATCTCTAGCTTGGACCATGGAGGCCAGAAGCAGTTTATTCTGTTTGAGTACGGATTAATGAAATACAATGCAATTTATTAATTAGTGAGCTTTGGATGTCTTGGAATGTGTATTATCACCTTTGGACAGAGCCAGGCTAGCTGTTTCCTTTTGCTTCCAGTCTTTATGCTAAGCTAAGCTAAGCTAAGCTCTAGCATGACTCATGAGAGTGGTATCAACCGTTCCCAGCAGGAAATGAAAAAGTCTTTTCCCCAAAATGTCAAACTATTCCTTTATGTCATTTTGGTTTCTTGGTCTGACAAAAGAAGCACTATGAAGTCATCAGCTTGGGCTTTGTCACCCACAATAGGCATTTTTCATTTTTATTCAACATTTTCCATTAAAAAATGAAAAAGAAGAGATTGATAAATAATCATAGAGTGCTGGAGGAAGGAGTCCTAAAACCTAGAAATGAGTCGGTATTTTTGCTCTTCCGATTCCCTCGTTTCAAAGTACTTTTGTTCGATGATATAACTCATCAGTAAATACCTCTCTTGGGAATTTTAAATGTTTTACGTGTCTTAAAAAAGGAGGTTGCAAACAAGTGGCTAAATGAGACTACAAAACATCATCAAGCCAAACACTAGTCCTCCTTCAGCTTAGTGGGGGTGATGCCACATCATGTGACCGTGGTGTGGAGCATTTATAGCCCGATGTTAGTGTTTTACTTCTGGAGATTGCATTCACGTTTCAGAAATCATAAAAGTGGTGTTCATTTGTGAAGATGTTCTTGCTGACTCTGAGTCCTGCCTCTCCCTGTGTTTCAGTTAACCGGGCCCTCGTGGTGCTGCTGGTGCTGATGGTGGGTCTCCTCCTGCACAGTACAGTGCTTAGAGCCTCCACTCGGCCCAAACTCTCAGGTACACCCACACACAGGCTTTATTCAAATCTATACAGAGCACATTCAATCGTGGGAAAACATTAAAGGAGTATTGTCTGTGAATATAAAACCAGATATATCTTCTTCCTCTGTGCCATGGAGCCCCATTGTTCAAAAAACTATTATAAACGCATCAATGAGCCACAGTGTTGCACTGGGTGACATGTTCCTACATTACCATGACCACACACTGTAGTTTATTTTGACAAAATCCAACTTAAACCGTCCTGGTGCCACAAAAACTCACTAGAGCAACAAATGTGTATCAATGCGCAGCTGAAAATAGTCTCCAACAAATGCACTAGTTACTCTTCTTTGAGTGACATTTCTTCTGTTTTAGGAGATTACTGAGCAGTTTTTTTGGGAATTCTCTCTCAGATCACTGGAAGAGCCTCGGAAGCGCAGCGCGAGTTCCTGCAGCGAGAGTTCCCGCAGCGAGAGTGTCAGAGGCGGATAATGTCGTCCCCGTCCTGATATGCGCATCGGAGGAGCGCATCGGTGCAACCATGGCGGTCATCAACAGCATCTACAGCAACACAGACGCCAGTGTGTTCTTCTATATTGTCACTCTTCGCGAAGCCGTGAAACTGACGAGGTTTGTCACTTGTACAGACGTGTACAGAATCTTTAATTGTCAATCTTTCTTTGGGGGGGGGGGGGGGGGCACCTGACACCCCAGTATTATTGCCTATACTCTTGACTTTTTATTTACCCAGTTTTCCTTTCTGCGCGTCTTCCCAGACAGTACATAGTGAAGACTAAACTGAAAGGCATCAAATATAAGATATTGGAATTCAACCCCATGGTTCTGAAAGGAAAAGTGAAGCCTGATTCCTCTCGACCCGAACTGCTACATCCAGTGAGTTCTGGGTTTGCCTTTGTTCATGTAACAACACATACGATTCACATGCACAGATGCAGCTCCAACGTGCGCTACCCCACAATCTGAATGTTACGTCACAAAGATGCGACAATCATAACGTCTGTTTTGTTTGCAGCTCAACTTTGTGCGCTTTTACCTGCCCCTGCTTGACATCAACCATAAGAGGGTGATATACCTAGACGATGATGTCATTGTGCAGGGTATGTGTGTGATCACGGTAGGCAGGAATCCATGCATCCTTCAGATGAAATGGTTTTAAGGTTGGCCTATTGATAAAACTTTTAACTCAGAAGTTACAGCAGCACAGGCTGAGTGGTAAAAACATATAACGAACTTTTTGAATATAATTCATAATTAAAAATGTTTTTAAAAAGTAAGAGATTAATGAAATTAGAGAGGTGACATTAAAAAACTAATATATATATATTGCAATACCTAACACTTTAGTAGTATTTGTTAAGAGAGTCATTAGTGTGACTTCAGCAGCCATGATGTGTTAACTATATATGCTATAAACATATAGGTATAGATATGAATAATAAGTATAACATACATAATGATATAATTATAAAATATAATATAATAAATATAATGAAGTATATAGTGTTAATATATATGCACAGTTTGTGTAATATTCAAACACTATAAATTATTAAGACAACGGAAGTACATATAATATAAATCCAAGTGAATGCTATGATACAGCATAACACAATATTATAAAAGCACAATAATAATGTAGTAATTGTTATATATTGATTTATCAAATATTAAATCGTTCAAACTTTTAAACTGAATCAAAAGTTTTATGATTACAATTTCTCATTGATAAACATCAAATCCACATATTTGAAAGTTTTTTTTTAAATTGATTTTGTATCAATTATGTCTATATGCAGTGAGACTGAAATAAGCAATATTGCCTCATTTCATACAGAGGTGGGCGACAGTGTAACAGTTATAGAATATGTGTATGTGTTGTACCACTTACAGCCTTTTCATGCTTCTCAGGCGACATCAAGGATCTGTTCAATATGAAGCTGAAGCCGGGTCATGCTGCTGCTTTCTCCACCGACTGCGACCTGCCCTCCACACATGAGATGGTGCGCAGCATCGGCATGCAGGTGGATGTTTATGTCTTTTATCATATTGTATCATAATCACTTTGACTATTAACTCGCCAGTGTGAAGGGGCATTGTAATGGCTGTTTGATAATCAAAAAGGTGGGTCGGTCCATTTTTGGCCTTTAGCTAGTGTCATTAAAAAGTATGCAGGGCAAGATGCATTGATTTTTATTAATGGGTCTTCAGTTTGGACCATTAGAGGACTTGATACTGAACGTTATATTCCTTTGAAAAGACACATTGCTTTATTGAAATATGGCGTCCTCTCCTCTGAGCTTGTCCCCTAGACAACCTACATGGGCTTCCTGGACTATAGGAAAGAGGAAGTTAGAGACCTGGGCATCGACCCCAGAGAATGCTCTTTCAACCCTGGAGTGTTTGTGGCAGATGTCAATGAATGGAAGAAACAGAAGATCACCAAACAGTTGGAGAAATGGATGGAGGAGAATTTCCGGTACGCACAGTGACCATCAGTTTCTGGAAACCCTTACATTTCATTTTGCAACATGTCCAGCTCAAAGATGAAGCTGTGGGGTAAAACAGTGGCAAAAACAATACTGTAATTTGATTGGCAAAGGAGAAATATATGAAAACAATAGAATATTTACAGAAACACAAACTACATGTTCAGTCTCTTATCAGAGATTACGAAGAAAATGTCTGAGGGTCTCCTTCACCTGGGTCCCTGGTTCGATGACACTCCCTGACTGTGTGTCTATTGATTAAGATATAAGTTATTACTAACTAACTAAACCAAGATTTGAATGGTTTTAAGTTGACTTTCAGATTAAAGAGATGGACATATTCTCACTAACTTGAGCACTCTACGTGTTTTGAGAAGTTTCTATGGTTATTTTGCGAGAACGTTTTTACTTGGCAGGACCAAATGTAATTTCTTTTTTACATTCAAAGCTTCTAATGACGTTTCATTTGAATGAAGCGTGATTAAATGAGCAAGTCCTTTTTTTATTAAATCACCTTTCTTTATTTCGTGTGTAGGCTGTAACATAAATATGCATTTTTATGTTTATATTTTATAAGAGTTGCGGAGCAGTAGAAGCATCCGCCAGATCAGAAACCCTCTTCCTCTCCTCTCCAACAGGCACAACATATACAGCAGTGCAATGGCAGGAGGCGTGGCGACTCCACCCATGTTAATAGTGTTTCATGACAAATACACAACACTGGACCCGTTGTGGCACGTCAGACACATGGGTAAGATCATCACTCCAGTTCACATACAGAATAATTCCAGTATTTATTGTGAAATGCCTAATTGCTGTGCTAATTGGAAGCTCATTTTAGCATACAAAGTATAGAAAACACACTTCAACAAACAATATTAAAGTATTATAACCAAGCTTATCACAAATCAACCTACCATAGGGACAGGATACACTGAGAGGAGGGCACTTATGCTACACATTGGTCTCAGTGGCAAACTAATAACAATACATTATAAACAAGATTAATGGAATTACAATAGTGTTCAACATATTATTCAGACATAACTAATTACTTTTTACATTTACATTAATTATGGCAAGTGATGGAAGTGGAATCATTAAATATGCCACATACAGACATGGTCAATTTGAATTGAGCTTTCCTGTGTGTCCAGGCTGGAGTCCAGATGCCCGCTATTCAGAGAGCTTCCTGGAGGAGGCGCGCCTACTGCACTGGAACGGTCCTTTTAAACCATGGCATTATCCTGCTGTTCACTTGGATCTGTGGGAGAGGTGGTTTATCCCAGACCCCTCCAGCAGGTTCTCCTTGGCACGACCTGAGAGCGACAGCTGAGGTCTGTGGGACATGTCTTAGCGTCAGGTAGACATGAAGCATGTGAAGTTCAGGACTTAATTGAGCAGTGGCGGAAGGTGTACTGCCAAATGTACGGAGAATGTAATGCAGAGGAATGCAATGCTCTATGTATTAAGCCTACGTAAGCTAAATACACAAAATGTTATTAGTCCGTTATCTACAGCAAGTGATGGATACCTGTAAAGATATTAGAATATAACTTCTAGGAATGTGTTGAAAGTGAAAATGAGAAACTCGTAACACTGACAAGAGTTTAGAGTCTTTGTAAATTGTGTTAAGCAAGAGAAAATGTCTTTCCATGCGAACATGAAATAAATCTTCAGAACTCTAATTTTCAGTCTCATCTTTGCTGGGACTTTAATGCTTCAAATAAGGCATTGAAATATTGAGGTAATACATAACTGTGTCCTGTTACTACAGCTATATTACTGATCATTTGGCTTAAGTTTCTGGACATCGTTGAGACAGGAAATAATACCGGCAAACTACCCAGATAGCAAAATTCATCCGGCCCATTGTTGGGCGACATGATTGCGTTTCTTCTGGCCCAGTATACGTCCGGGTCCTCGGCCCGAAACTGGCCAATATACAGCATGACTGTCAGATGAAACGTAAGTGGGCCTGACCTGGCCCGATGTGTTTAAACATATTGTAAAATGCTGTGGCCCAGTTCTGGCCCACATACCTTTCCTACTTTGTTCAGATTTTTTGAAATTTGTATTCATTTAAAAAAAATCTTTCTCATTACTGCAGAGATGCACCAATTGCAGGCCGTAAAACTCTTCAAATGCGTCACAGAATCCCTGAAGAGTACATTTTTCTTCCAAGTGTTAGTGCACTGTTGGTTCTGCTCCACTGGGGGGAGCCAGAGAGGTAGTCAGGATCTTTAGTGGAACCTGCTGGTTTCAATGGTGCACTCTCCATGGGTTTTAAATTAAGTTTTTACTGACATTACATTCTAGGCCAGAGGTCTTCAACAGGGGGTCCGCGGCCCCTAGGGGGTCCGTGGAGGTACTGCAGGAGTTCCGCGAAATTTTTGGTTGATTAGACAATTAGTAAAACATTTTTTTCTCTAAACATGAATCTGTCCATTATTTTAATATTTCAGTATTGTATGAAAGATAACAGGTATCTTTATGCATGGCAGTGGCACTAATAGGCCATCACTAATTTTTCGTTTCCACATTTATGTTTAAAATTTGAATAGCTTGTATGCATGATTATCATGCAATTGACAGACAATGTTGATATTGGCATTGGTATCAGCTGACAAGGTGTGTTTATAAAAGGCAGTGGCACGGCCTCCCTACTCACTGTGCCTTGCACATGTTTAAAATAAAAACATGAATATATGAACCTGTGTATTATTTGAATAGCTTAGTATTGAATGCACAGTAAAGAGGTATGTTTATACATGGCACTAGGCCCAGTTTAATATAAAACACAGTTTTAGTCAGGGGTCCCTGCTCCATCTCTCTATCAGTTTGGGGGTCCTTGGCCTGAAAAACATTGAAGACCCCTGTTCTAGGCAACTCAATTGGTAACTTGTTGCAGTTAGACAAAACGTTGTCCAGTGACATTATGAAATTAAAAGCCGAAAAGGAAAAATGCCACTGGATGCTTGAAATAAATACATCAATTTAAAAATGTAAAAATTGGTGACATTTGATAAATAATTAAAACTTATGATTCAAATATTACCAATGGAACTTGGCCACCATAAACATAGAATGATTTGGTTTTATTAATTCACATTATTTCACAACTACCATGTTTCATTTTTCATTATACTATTTAAGTGTCTTTCATCACAGTTTGCTTTCTTCAAAATGATAATCTTGGTTGAGCCCAAGTCGGATTATATAATATCTAAAATTTTAGGAGTTGGGGATTTGTTTTCATAATTTGATTAAAATAAATTCACAATTTGCTGGTTGATTTATATATATTAATGGTTATTAAGTTAGGAGTTATGAGAATACAATTCAACGCTAGGTTTTACTTTGATGTGTTTTAGTTGTTTTTGTATTTCTTTGCTGTAAAAGCAAAATAGTTTTAAACTGCTGATGAAGACCATCACCACTATGGACCTGTCTTTGATGTAACTCTTTCAGTAGCCACTGTAGTTTGTTCATGGAATCATTGTATTGATGTCAAACACACTGTGCGAGTCTATTAAATCAGAGTCTCATCCATCATCAGAGGAAATATTTGAGGAGTGTTCTGTCGCTGACTTATTGGTACCGTGGTTGAGCACAGCTAGTTTGAATTTTAATGAATTAATTATTGAATACCTTTGAAACTCAAGCAAACCCTGTGGGAGTCTGTAGTCAGCCTCTGACTTTCTGTTAATAGAATAAATTCTTTCTGTCTTACGTCACAGATTATGGTCTTAAATCCTCAACATATAGGTACAGAGAAAAAAGGGAATTCATTTAAATGAATATAAATAGTTATAATAATTTTAAAAAGATGGAATTGCAATGATTACACTTAAAAAAATATAAAAATATAAGGGGGAAAAAAGCATATACTATTCTTAAAATGACCTCAAGGAACTATCCTTTTTAGTCGATGTTGGTGGTCCCTGTGGACGAAAGTGCACCAGACTCCCTTTAGAGAACCTCTCATTTCACTGCAGCAGGGGTCTGACAGCTTGCTCCACTCAGTCCTGGTTCTGGTTCTCCAGGACTGACTGGACCCAGCGGTTCCAGTCAGCGGGCCCAGGAAGGTCACATACAGAGGCATCAGTATTACATTCAGACTGCTTCATAACCAGTGAAAAGCTCCTCAAAGTAACTTGAAAGAGTTCACCATATATTTTGACAGGTGTTTCACTTTTCTTAGTGTGACGTTTTTCTCATGTGTGACAGGGCGGCTGCAACACTGCGATAAATAAAGTTGATCTGAGACTTTCAGTATGAATCACTTGTGTTCTGTATATTGCAGCCATGTGATGTATTGTTTGGAAGACCTGGCTATACAATCAGGTTCACTCAACAATGTGACCATGTGACCCCACCCGGCATCGCCGATGGGTGGGGTCAGAAGTGTGCTCTGCTGCACCTTTCACCACACCTAACATATCACCTTGTGTCCAATACACCCTGAGTAGAGTGTGGAGGCTAATAATGAAAATGAAAGACAGAAAAACGGGAAAAACCTGAGTGAGGTTAGCAATAAAGGAACTGACTTTCTTCGAGCATTTTTGCACAAAACCATAAAGACACAGCAGAGAGCCCAGCCATCCAGGCAATGTGTTAATAACTAGTGTGACATAAAGGCTGTGGCTGGTGAGATGTGTGAGACGGCACGTATGCCGCTCCACAGACAGGGCAGGAGCAGCAGAGGCTGTGTGTGTCTGTATCTGTGTGTGTGTGTGTGTGTGTGTGTGTGTGTGTGTGTCTGTGTGTGTGGAGCATGGTGTTGAGTCACATTTGTCTCAGCGTAATGGAGAAGGCAGCGTGATGTCACTGCATACCCGACAGGTTTTCCACAGGTTGTTTTCCCCTCTGAAGTTTTGACACACACACACACGCACACACGCACATACAGATACACATTTGAAAGAATAAGGCTAATAATCCTCTTCTTTACTTTTCTTATGGTGAACAAATGCCATGACAATTCCAAAACCAACAATGAATGTATCCTGCTAACAAGTATTAGCCTGATAGCTATATCTTATCTCTTATACATCTTCTTCCTCTGTGCCATAGAGCTCCATTGTTGTTAAATACACATCGATGAGCCACACTCATGAACACACACACTGTAGTTTATTTTGACTTAATCTCATACACACCGTCCTGCTAACACAAGGACTCACTAGAGCACCAAATGTGGATTAATCCACTGCTTAAAATAGACCTCGACATGCATTCACTTGTGTTCAATGCATCCTCGATGTGGATTGGGTACATTTACACCTGTGCTCTCATGTGGTCAAACCATAGAAATGAAATAGTAGTAGAAGGATGGTCAGAATGGTAGCCATTTGTTTGTGTACCTTTTTCCATTGCGACCGTTGTAGCGGGCTAACTTCCATATAAACTGAACCGACTTATATCAGCTTTCTCTGCTGTCAGTGCATCAAAGACCTCATACAGAGTTTCGATATTTTGACGAATAGCTCCTGGATCTCCTCCCGCATTGGCAGTATTTGGGAGCCTTGAGGCTTCCGTTGCCTCCCTCACTGCATCACACAGTTTGGAGCCTGGCTTGCTCCGCTTTGATCGCGTCATACCTGTCATTCAAGGCTTCGTCAGTTAGCCTACTCTTTAGAGGCAGAATTTCTCATCCCAAAGTGTCACTGTCGGCTCAATGGCCTCTTTCATCACTTTCATAGCATCACACTTTGCATCTATACCCCTCTGATTTTGTACATTTTCACAGAGCTCCGTTGGTTCTTTTTTCGGACACTGTGTCTTACCTTCACACATTTAGAGTTGCAAGGCATCAAGTTGTTGGTTCATTTCTCCTCTTATTGCATTGTCTTGGTCGGTAATATCTTTTTTTAAACTTTCCAACAAAAGTAAATTATATATTTGTTGCCTGTTTTTAAAGATGTGTGTCTTCAGTATGAACCATTTAGTAATACAGACAAGGTGTTAAGTCAAATAGTATTGATAGATTACATTTTGAATAACGCCAGTCCCTACCTTTAAAGCTGATTCACCTATACATATACATATACAGTTGCATGCAGAACAGCTGCACACCAAAACTTGATGCTCTTCCCTATATTCCCTCGTCTTTCCCCCACGTTATGTAATAAAGCTCTTTTGGCAACCTAAAATATACGACCTTAGAATGCTGCGATCCCTCTGACCTTGAAAACCTGTGAAACAACAGAACACCTACATTTACACCACACCATTACAGTCAATCAAAATGAAACAGAAACTCATCTGCCTCCTGTGGTGGCATATTGGGACAACCACAGGCTGTTCTCTGTGTACAGTCAAAGTCAATGGAAGATGACAGCACTTATTTAAAGTTTTCAATCTGATGCTCTCTGTAGCTACGTGAGACTTTGCATGGATCTCAGGGACCTCTATTCATATGCCTGCCCGGAGAAACACGTTCTTGCTCAAGCCAGTGACTCACTGTTGTATTCCTGTCTCAGCACAAACCACCTGACACAAGGTAACCACATGTCAAGTCAAGTCAGTTTTATTTCTAGAGCGCCAAATCACAACAGAAGTTATCTCATGACACTTCTCGACCATACTCTTTCAATCACAGGGTCCCGACATTCCTCACATGAGCAGCAAGGAAAAACTCCTTTAACGGGAAGGAACCCCGAGCAGAATCAGGCTCTGGGTGGGCGGCCATCGGCCTCGATCCAGTTGGGTTGAAAAAGAAAGAAAGAGAGAGAGAGAGCGAGAGAAAGTGATTCCTGAAAGCAGTCAGCAGTTAATTAGGCCAAAGGGCAACATTGCTCCTGATAGTTGATCAAATGAAATTACATTGAGAAGTATGC